CGCATTTCAATAATCGATCTTTTGCCTTTTAGTGGTTAACCGTGCGTGCATCCGTCCGTCTGTTCGTAATTTTTCTTTTAAATTAAATTGCAATTAGTATTCTGGTAACAATTATTTCATTTTAAAACTCACCGAGTGTGGAGATAGTGCCTGACGAAGGAGTAGTGGGGCGGGAGCGAACTTTGGGGAGTAAATATGCCGAATGCAAATATTCCGTGAGCGACTTTAATTGGAACGAGTTTTCGTGGGGGGGGGGGGATTCCGAGATGAATGTGAATGTGGACCACCGATGACTGCTGCTTTAGTGCTCCATTGTGTTTTCTTTAAAAAAATGTTTATTTTACAGAGCTTTCCAAACGCTTTTCAGAGCATTCTGAATTTTCACAACTGTCTAGGTCTTTTCCACATCTTGGCATGTTTTTTACAGAGTAATTCTTGGAGTTTTCTAGGGCCCAATGAGTCTACAAGGGTTTGGAAATGGTCGGAAAGATGGCAGTTGGGAGACCGTGGAAAGCCCCTACTCCTCGGTGGCGTTCGATTGTTCTGGAAAATCGTACAGTGCACTGATTACTTTCCAAATTGTTATAAATACTTTTCAGACATTTGCGACACATTTCCAGAGCATTATTGTTTTGTTGCGGAACTTGCCACAAACTTTTAAAGTTCTCTCCAGAGCGTCTTAAGTCACGGTTTTCCGGATTAGCTTTCAGGTGTACTCCAGAAACACTCGGTCTTTTTTAAAGCTCTCTTGCTCTTTGCAGAGCAAAATTGATTTAGGAAGCCCATGGTAAAGGTTCAGGGCATGGGAAAATGCTGAATTGGTCCTGAAACAGGGACCTCAGGCGGTCAGGAAAGACGCTCGGGAGGCATTGGAAAACGTTTGGAAGGGCCCGGAAAAGGTTCCAAACATTAGAAAGGTTTTACAAAGTCAATTCGAGAGTGTGGCGAACCTAAAAAACACGGAAAGGTTTAGAAAGGCTTGATAAGGCATAGAAATGTACGGAATTGGTCCGGAGAGACCCTAAATAGTTCATAAAACGACCTTAATCGCGCTTGATTTCTTTGAAAAGGCCTTGAAAAGTTTCCATTTTTGAAATGCTCTGGTATGCGTTGCAAAGGCTTTTCGGGGCTCTTTTTTAGGTAATTCTAAATTCGTCTAGCTCTAGAATAGACCTAAAAATTTACACAAAAGGTGTAGAGGTTTCTCTAAAGCTATACAGGGGAACTAAGAAGGCTCTAGATTCTAGAGTGTACTATACAGCTTTTCAACAGCGCTAGATTTTTAAACGCGTTCAAGAGCGTCAATATATCTTAGTCTTTTTCAGAGTTGCCAAGCATTTTTTTTCGACATTTTGATCCATTATTACAGTTTTCTACGTTCTTCCAAAGCTCCGCGAAGTAGTTTCGCAGTTGTCTATGCTTTTGCAGAGTTTCTAGGCATTTTTCAGATCTTTCTAATTTCGTCTTTCCAAAGAAAAAGACATTGAAGTTAAAAGAGTTCTGCAAAATTTATTCTTATATTCTTATTTTAAGAACTTTAGAGATTTAGGGCTTTTGCAAACATTTCTATGCCTTTGTTTATGTCCGGGAAAAGATCTCAAATACCTTGGACCTACGCCGTTCTAAAAACACGCAAGTTGTGTTATACAGGGTGCCCATTATGTATGGAATATAGTAGGTATATATCTCGGTAAATATGGAATGTATACAACATTTTTCTATATGAAAGTTGTTTTTATTTTATTTCCCATAATAAGACAGGATTCAGTTGTTTTTATTTCAGTGTACAAATGAGTAACGAAAAACAATTGAATTTTTTAAAATGGCAGCGCACCTTTTCATTAGGCCCATTTGATACAGATTTTTTCTCTTATTCAAGAAAATTTTTTAAAAAAATTTATTATAATTAGATCAATAACATTATTCCAGATATCCTACATCAAAATAAAACAAATGAACGTGTAGGTACACAACGAAATTAGCAGTAAAATGGTTTTCGTCGCAATGAATCTTCAAAATGTCATTGAAATCATTGAAAAGAGAAAAAAAATCTCTATCAAAGGAGCCTAATGAAAGTGCGTAATGCTATTATAAAAACTTCAATTGTTTTTCGTTATTCATTTATTTTCTGAAATAAAAACAATGGAATGCTGCCCAAAATTTGCGTTTTTTGACTTTTCTTTTAGTAATCTTTAACATATGGAAGGTTGTAACTAACTACTTTACCTAGGCTTTTGGATGCGCCCCATCCGAACGACCTAAAATTCCATTCACTAAGAACTCAGAAAATTCATTTGCAATTGTTGGGCCCAAACAGTACAGATTTCAAATTTATTCGAAAAAAGAATTGCAGATGAAATGTTTTCAAAAGACCAAGCGAAATATTTTGTTTATTTTACAAAGATTTCGTTTTAATCTTCTATATATACAACCAATTTTTTTGCATACTTATATGGATAAATAGTTAGGGCCTTATTACGAAACTGCGTTTTACTGCGCCATTATTGCACAAGCGATCTCGTCCAACAAAAAAACTTGTTAATGAGAAGTTGTCGTTATTTCGTGTAAAAAACAGATAGGTATAATTGGCATCCGTGGCGGATGTACACTATAGATTGTAAATGGGGTTTTGAAAACACTCAGACGGTGACCTCATTTAATTTGTTCGGTGATGCGATTGCCATGGCCACTGCTAAAAGTTGTTTCATGCAAATTGAGGCGCCAACACATAATACTGAAAGGGGAACTACACAACTGAAACGCACTAATTGCATACCGTTTTTTAATATCAGCTTTCCATGCCCACTGGAGGAAGTCCTAGCCATCAGTCCGCAGTCAAGAAATCCCGTGCTCTTCTTAGCCTCTGCTACCGTGGAGACGTTTATCCCACTCCACGTAAAGGTAATCTTCTCCGAATGTTGAAAAGACGTTGGAGCTGCATTTTTCACTTTCTCGTTTCTCTGAAGGAATTGCAATGTTTCAGACACGGTTGAGAGGTACCACTTAAAAAAAAACTTACGCTCGAATTATAGCAACGCTTTCCGCAACCCTCGTCGCAACCCCCAATTAAAGGTTTGGCTTCCACATTCTTGGTCCCCATAACGGTTCGCGACTGCCTTGTTCAACCTACTTAGTAATCCACAAACAAATTTGTTTTTTCAATCTTTTATCTTTGCTGATTAAACGGCTTGTTAACTAATTTTAATTAAAGTAGGCCATTTAAGGCAATTCACGGGCACCAGTATCCAGAAAATAGCAGAGGGAGAAAGGTAATTGAATTTCAAGGAGCAATAATTGGTTGGTAGGAAGAGATGTTATTATAGTAGAAAAGTACAGAAAATAATTGCGATGCAGATTTTAAATGATCAGCGAAGGGAGTAAACGAAGGAAGAAGTACGGCCGAGGATAGTCTCGTCAGAGCTGCTGTAGGGATGGTATCTGTGGAAATGTTCACAAACATTTTGGAAGTTTGAATACTAGTTTCCAGATTTTTTAAATTTAGAAAAAAATGCTCGCGTTCTCTTGAGGCCCTAGACACCGTTGCTTATTTCCCAAGATCCCCTAGGCTAAGACGCCGATGAATTGACAGGAAAGTCGTCAATGGCCCATTCAACAAGGTAAAGTCACAAGTAAATTAGGGTTACTGTATCTAACTTACCTTTTTGCAGGGTGGAACATATAAGTGTGCACAACAGAATTGTATCAAGAGTCCAAAATCAAAAATTCCCAAAAATTTGCGTTCTTTCTTTAGAATATAGATTTTTCCAGCAACCATACCATACAGACAGATGGAAGTAGGTAACGGCTTTATCTTAATTTTTGAGTCCACCCTTTCCGATTTTCCGAGCATAAGGCTTGTCTCACAGTGGAAGCGTTTACGCGCGAACTGAAATACGCATGTTAACGTCAGAAATTGTACGTCCGTATACGCACAAATCGCATTCGCACATTAGCTGCGTATCCATCATGAGCTGAGCAACTGTTCACAAGCACAATCGTCTACAACCTGCGAATTCGCATAAAAATCCGAACAAAATGGGATCGGTTCGCACGTCGCAATTACACGCACGTATACGGACGATTTATTAATCACTAATGTGCGAAGGTCCGTTTGAAATCGTACGTTTGAATAGTTCGTCTATAAACGTACGTATTCGTACGAATCCCAGTTCGCGCGTAAACGCTTCCACTGTGAGACAAGCCTTATAAGCCTGAGAAGTCTGATCGAAAAAGTACGAATTGATTTGGATTCTACGCACCCAAATTAAAAAGAAAAAGTGTTTTCCCGAGAAATTTTGGTGTAGTCGTTTTTGGTAAAAAAAAGGAAGGTTATACACTGCCTTTTTTGAGCCCCGAAAAAAAAATTGTCTCAGAACGACCCGGAAAAAAATTTTCTTATAGAATGTGGCCTGTAGAATCCATAATTTCAAACAGTTCCAAGATTGGGCTACTAGTTCAAAAGTTACAGCCCTTTGAATTTTTTTCGAAATTGGTTTCTAGTCTATAACTTTTGATTGAGAAGTCTGATCGAAAAAGTACGAATTGATTTGGATTCTACGCACCCAAATTAATAAGAAAAAGTTTTTCCGAGAAATTTTGGTGTAGTCGATTTTCTCCTAAGTAGGTACCTAAACGCCCAATCTTAAAAATTTTGGTCGTTTTGGATTCTACAGGCAAAAATGCAATTTTCCGGTCGACATCTTGGTCTAAATTCTATTGAAAAAGCATACCTACTTTTAAATCGACCGAGAAAAATCCTTTTCCTATAGGTTTTGGCTTGTAGAATCTAAAACTTCCGGAATTTTAAAGATTGGATGTACCTACTAGCTATAGGTACCTACTTCCATTAAACAAGTTATGGACACAAAGAGGGGTGTTCTAAAATGATGGTAATAAGCATTGTTGTATACAATACGCATAACAAAAGTAGTCTTTACGCGCATGCGTACAATCAACTGTAGTTCCTTGCGAAACGGGCGCGCAACTATAAGAAATAAATTTCTGCATTTTGCGTTAATTTATTACATTTACTCTGCATCAAGAAATAAGTACATCAAATAGTCTTCCGTTTGATCGCCGAATTAAGTACCTATTAGTTTCGGTTTAAGATTTTAATCTCTAAAACATATCAACGTTTTAAGAGCCAAGTGCTGGATCAACCCTCACCCTGAATTTGAAAACTTTCGGTTGCGGTTTCGCAGTTCCCCCTTCCATCCTGCGTTTCCATGAATAATTTATAGTAAATCTTATCGCCAACTCTCAAGTGAAGAGGCTGTAAATTGACGCCGTGTCTCGATACTTTATTCCTAGACGACTCGATACGATTAACGTTTTCGATGTTAAGCACGGGCTGATCTACGCCTAACCTAATGGCGATACTTCTCGGACTACCCTCGTAGGTAATCTCGAAAACCACAAAGTTATTTTGATACGCCCTAAACGCACTGACTTTAAGTTCACAGCACCGCCGTCCGCCCAACAGAAGTAACGCTATAAAAAGGAATGCTAACTTAAATCGAACCATTATTAGCGATAGCTTAATTACTTGTGCAATTAATATTATTTAGCGAACGATAACAGCATGACTTATCAAACGTTTAAGTTCAAAGTTGACGTAAATATTTACAAATTCTTGAACGTTTGATTTACACGGAAGCGATGACGCACCATCACCTTCACGCCAAAAAATTTGCAACACGTGCGAAATTAACACAGGAAAAGTGTTAACTTTTTTGTAACATATAAACATAAATTTTTTTTTTTTGCAGTTAAGTAATAAATTTAAGAAAAGCTTACAACATACAAATATTACAAATAAAATTGTTTAAAAAAAAAAAGAAAAAAAAATTGTACTGCGTTATCCTCTTTTGTTAGTCTCTAAATGTACCTTCGTAATTTGTTTGTAATATTTTTTTTAATGACCGACCGTAAGGGTACCCACACAAATAATGGTATAATAAATATGATTATTATTATTTCAATCAACCGGATCAAGATCGGAACATATACTTAATATCTCGACTGTAGAGCCAACAATTCCCTTTTTAAGAAACAATGGGAAACTTTGATTGGTTTAATGTATGTACGTAAGTAGAAATGAAAATGCTTCGATTAACTTTGATTTGTTATTACTTTTCTTTTTCCCTGCGTGACTGCCGCCAAACTCTCTACATTCTTATGTACACAAATTTCCATAAATGTAACTATAAGCAATAACGCCTGCCCCAACAGTTCTCGATTAATAGCGCTCTGAGCTAAATACCTCTCTTTCAGTTCGTTTAAAATCCTCACAGAGATGTTCGGCATGGGAAGACTCGTGGGAAGTATGTCCAAGAGACAGTTAATGGCGGGTGTCGTGGACACCCGTTCGGTACCCATCAAAGTACGGAACAATCTACAAAGCGACTGTTAGTATTGACTCTCATTCGTGTCCTTACCTTGCGGAAAGATTCGAACGTAAGTAATATACACAATTAGGGGCGAGCTCCTCGGTTAGTTGCGCATTGTGCTTCCCGCTCGTATTTAAGAGCGCCAGTAACATCGACAGCAATTCTAAATGCTCATTACGCACCATCGTTTGTTTGTTATCCAAGGGTGTAACGATGTACATGGGGGCCTCGAACACGTACATATCGCCTACAGGGAGCTTCTTCAAAATTGTTTGCGCCTGAAACATTGATAAGCAAAATGTCTTTTATCGAGGACTTACCAAACTGAAAGTTTCCGTCGGCAACATTTTCTTGGTAACTTCGGCAAATTTAAAATGGCCCCACTCGTGTAACTCGTTACTCTTGGTCAAACTCGCCCAGCTCACGCCGACCGGACCGAGATATAAGCCCACCGCTTTACTGAAGTTCTAAAAGGCAGATTCAACTTTGAGACGCGACACCTCATCTCTTCACCTGAGTGTGCTGCTTACTTAACGGGGGGATCACAAACTGTCGTCGACCTTTCGACGGTACGTGCGAGACTTCATCTTGTGGCCGTCGTGCGACTATACTTGCGCAAATCCTGTCGAGTGTTTTAAGACAAAAACCTTGAACTTTGAGTAGATCGGCGAGAGATTTGAACGGACCCCGTTCAGACTGCCAATTTTTCAAGGTTTTTATTCTCGTCTGAGAGACACTCAGTCTACAAGTAGAAGGCTCGATTAAAGCTATTAAAACTAAAAACGCTGTGGTACTGTGAAAGATGTTCGGGCGTTGCAGTGTTCAGAGTTGTGAGAATAAGTTCTTGGTCCACATCGGAGTACCTCGATTGCAAATCCTCCAACTTAACCAGTGTGCTACATTCTTTCGAGATGAGTTTTAACTGAGAATTTATCTTGAATTTTAATACAGTGAAATTGCAATTACAAATAACGTTTCTGATTCTAATGTGCATTTTGAGGTTATGTTCATAAAATAAACAAGTGAAATCGCGGAGTGGCAACAACACTTTTGAAATCTGTCAACACTGGATCTAACTTTCAAAACAGTGACCTAACCTTAAATTCGTGTTCGTTTATTCACAATTTTATCTATTCTGTAACCGTAGAAACTAGATGGGATGCCCAGACGGACTAGAAAAAGACTTATGTCTGTTTAGTTGATAGATAGTTATTGCAATCTTAGGTAACCATGGCCACAATTAACGCGTTCACATTACAGACAAGTGACCTGTTCGAGTACGGAGTAACTTTCGTGCCAAACTTGGGATCCACCGCCAAGGAATCTTTTTTAAAACGTCACTTTTTGAAAGTGGGAAACGTTTACTTTTATCAACACGATATCGTGCGTACGTTCGCACAGCTCGAGACTAAAAATATGGAGTGCGTTTTGTATAATCGTAATATGCATTGTAATGTAACAATGTCGTTAAAGCTCCTTAGAAAACGGAAAATTGACATTGATTTAGTGAAAATGTGTCTGAAGGATGTTTGTGAATTGGTTCCGTTACCAGAATTACCTGGCGATAATCCCAACGTTAGAATTATACCCAAGTTTAGCTATTCAATTCACGAAAGCGATAGTATTTTATTATTTATTTATTGTTGTTATTATCAAGTGCAATGCGAGAACTTGAGGGATGCGATGTCAAAGTATAAAAAGCCACACGACGATGCTTTTTATCATAGAGCTGTAGAGTTCTTTTTAAAGAAGACATACATTTACAATGATCTAGACGATAAAGTATATCGTTTCAAGACGATAAATTGGGAAACGAACTCTATTACATTGGACCCATTTTTCGAAAGTGCCAAATTGGAACATCTTCACGTTGCCGAAGAACGTGCATACGAAGAAGCTCCAACCGATGTACGAGACAATTTAAACAAGCTCATTACAAATGATAATTTTGGACTGGCAATGGCAGAAGTTCGAGTAAAGACCGAAGCGCTTCCGCTAGAGACAATTGTTTTCGGAGATGGTGTTTCCTACACGTGCACCAATTGGAAGGAGCACGTTTGTAATAACGAGGTGTTATCGTCTGTTGACTTGTGGTGTTGGGTGATAATGTACGAGACTAAGGACGAGTCTTTCGCGAGAAATTGCGTAAAAATCATGCAAGAAATTCAGGAAGATACGGGTATAGAAATCGGCAATCCCCTTTTTCTACCAATCGGTGGCCGTACCAAGACGGCTTATAAAACTGCCTTAAGTTCAATTGAAAGTAAAGATCTACAGCTTGTCGTGGTTGTGTTGAACGAAACGTGTAATAATCCTAGGGCTTTTATTAAACGCATGTGTTTTGTTGAAAATCCTGTGCCGTGCCATATTATTAGTAGCAAAAATGCGCTGGGCCGTGATGAAATACACAGAATAACGCTGACCATTAACGCGAAACTCGGAGGTTCTCTGTGGTGTGTGACGTTGCCCCGTTTTATAATGATTTGCAGCATAGATACATACGTAGGATTTGACGATACAAGTCGGCCAGTGTGCAGTTTTGTATGTAATTTAGGTGACGACACTATTCAGTGGTATAGCAAAGCGACTTTCTGTAAAGGTGATTTAATCGGTCACCTAAAAAGATGTCTTATCGACATTGTGCACAAATATAGCGAAATGAATGGCTATCCGCCAAAGGAAATTATAATATATCATAGCAACAATTGGTTATCTACCTCAGAAATAAGTACAATGTACGACGGTTTGCATCTTGATGAAATTGTGTTTAGTGTTATTTTAGTTTCCAGCGTTCCTCGAGTAGAGATTGTTAAAAGTGAAGGAAAAGTTTTGCCCGGAACAGTACTTAATAATGTATTGAATACAAACTTTGTAGATTTTGCCTTAATGTCTAGCGCAGCTAATTTCGAAATACCTCCTGCCACTCATTACACCATTCTTAGACGGGTTAAAAATACCTCGTTAAGTTTCTTGCAGCAGTTAACGTATAAGTTATGTTATATTTATTATAAAAAAATGGAAGTGTCCGACATGCCTGCTCCTTGCATTTATGCGAGGAAGTTAAGTAAACTAGTTACAGAAGAAATTTTTGATATTCCCTCTTGTATACTCGATATGTATCTTTATTATATATAAAGTTTGCACGGATTTGTTTAGAGTTGTTGTCAATATTTAGGGCACATTTGCCTCGCGATTCCCAGAACATTCTCAAGAACTTCCCAGGCCCTTGCCGGAGTCTTTTGTGAAGGTCACAGAAGTTTCCAGAAAGGATTATAAGATTCTGGAATCTATGCCCTTGTCATAGCTCGAGCACCACACAGGCGCCCCCCTCGGCCATTAGGATCCTAAACAACTACTCGAAACCCCTACTCTTTAATTGTTGCTGTTAGAAGGGGCTCGAAGAACGAACGAACTTGTCATTGGCAAAATCCTGAATGGCAACTTTAAGGTTTTTTTATAAATATCGCCAGTAAATGTGGAATTTTTCAAAAGAAAAAAATTCCCTTATGTGATGGTTTTGTCCATCTGTTCCTTGTCTAACTTAAGAATTAAAAGAAGCGGCGATGTTAATCCTTCGCCAATTGATTTTTACAAGTTTAAGGAGCAGCACTATTGAACACTGGCACAAAAATGTTACAAAGAAGAAGGTGCTGTGGGCTGGTATATTGAGAGAATTAAGCTTAAGTTTGAAAGTTATTTCAGAGACCACCTTTGCACACAACACCCAATATTATCATCCAAAACTGAAGGTATTAATATTACAGCGACGGGCATGTGTTAGCTAAAAAGGGTTTTGCACTAAATCCTAATAAAATAGGGGGGTCCAGTTACACAAGGTTTTAAGTGTTAAAATTGTCACGTGTAAAACAGTATTCCTCGGCACAAAAATTGCTATGCTGAGTACACTTACTTACTTACTAACTTACACCTATTGTTATACAATTTATCAAAAGACACGCGCAAAATGTACCTGGCCTGGTTAGTAAATGAATAAATCCAATTACATAAAAATAAAGTACTAATTTAATAAAAAAAAATCAAGCATAGCTCGAACACAAACATAAATACGTGGATGATTAATTTCTTAGCTATACATATTTAACAGGACAATAGTTAATCTTAAAAAGTAATGGATAGCGCGCAGCCGACATCGCTAGATTTGAAACTGCTTAGCCTGTGTAAATAACAAATAAGCTGACTTTTTACAACAAAGCGTACAAAAAACAAGATGGTCACCTTTAACTGTACAAATTTCTCTATCAACTAATTATCCTTCCTGACCAAAATCTTCCATGAATTTCTCTAATTTGACCATATCCTCTTCGTTCACCGTAGGTTTGGATGTTGCCAAAGATCGTAACATATCGGCCTGTGGAACATGGAAAATTTAAATACTCTACTACTCATTTGCCAATCTTTATTCGGAACACATTTTTATTCTACTTTTCATACGAAGAAAGACTAATAACGCACACATTTTTACTTTTTAAAATTCAAGATGGCCGTGACAATTGAGAAAAAATAATTTCTTTCTAAATTGTCACGGCTATCTTGGATTCTAAAAAATAACAATGTGCTTGAAATTCTTTTCAAATCAAGCAGGCCGGGATCCCAAAACAACAAAACGAGTTTCAAACATTTTTCATCAATTAGACGTGTTGTAGTGAAGTCAAACCGGGGCAGTGTATAAAAAAACTTAACTACGGAGAATAAATTCATTTCCCGCATTATTATGTACTAAAACTAAAATGGCTTGACTACGAAAATATTACCCACTTCTGATTTAAGCACCCCCTCAACTATGCCTATACGACGTGCCATGCACTCACCATCACAATTGGAGGTTCGTGTAATTTATCACCGTCAACATCCACCCAGGTCATTTCGATCGCTCCCGCATCACCCGGCGAACAAGGCGTTAGAAGGTCGTCTACCATGACATTGGGGTCTTTCGGCGAGGGACCTCGTATTCGTTTAAAATGTGTAGCCGTTTGAACCTTTCGAACGGGTTGCATGAGAGCGTCTCTAACCACTATGCTTATATCCGCACCAGAATACCTGAACTGTCAAGTTTACTACACGAAGTGGCCACTTTAAAATACGAACCCTTCCGTTTTTTTCGCTAGTACCTTGAGATCCTCCTCCGATAACTGGGTCGGCGTATTGCCTAAATGCAACTTAAACATCACCAAACGTGCGGCTTCTTCGGGTAGAGGAATATAAATACGTTTCTCAAATCGTCTGCGAATTGCCGCATCCAATACCCAAGGAATATTAGTTGCACCGAGTACAAGTATACCTTCCGAATCGTGACCGACACCTACAATGCAAACACGGTATAGGAGGAATGATCGTGGTGTAAATAAATAAACTGCGCACCTTGCATCTGAACAAGAAATTCAGTTTTTATTCTTCGCGCCGATTCCGACTCGTTGTCCGACCGAGCCGAACATAAGGAGTCGACCTCGTCAATAAATATTATGCTAGGTTTATGTTGGCGTGCCAATTCGAATAGATTCCGTACAAGTTTCTCCGATTCGCCTAGCCACTTCGAGACGAGATCCGACGAAGATACGGAGAAAAACGTGGAATTATTCGCCTCGGTGGCCACTGCCTTTGCCAGATAGGATTTACCCGTACCCGGAGGCTGTAAACGTCGACATTTGAGAATATGTAAACAATTTTTGGATCCATGCGTACCCCGAATAGCAAAATTCCCTTCCACGGTACTCGTTTCCCTGTAAACAGGTGAGGAAACTTGATCGGTAAAATAACTGCCTCTTTGAGTGCTTCTTTGGCGGCGTCTAGCCCCGCAACGTCTGACCATTTCACGTGTGGCTTTTCGACGACTATGGCCCCTTCCAGTTTGCTTTGAAGTTTCTTCTTTTCCGGATCTTCACTGTCGTCACTGTCGCTGTCACTCTTTTTCTCATCTTTGGGGGTTTCGCCGTCCTTGACTGGTTTCTTTTTGCCTTTCTTAATAGATTCTTTAATTTTCTCTGCGCGTTCTAAATATTGACAACATTTTGCGCGTATGCTCTCTTTGGCCTTTTCTCCTTGGGCCTCGTCTAAAATGAACAGCTTATTACGGTAGATGCAAGATTTACTTACATTTAATCGCGTGTAAAAAATACTCCACACCGTGTTCATATAAACGAAGCGCTTCTTCGTAATTTTTATTTCGATCCTCCTCTGTCGCTTTGGTAACCAGTTCTATAGCTTTTTGCAGTGTACCCGTTGCCATACTGTGGAGATGATTGCAGGTAATTATTTCTAGTTACTTGTGACTGTGCTGCTGTCAAATGATGACACAATTTGATTGATGTGCAGTTAGGGAGACATCTGAATGGATTACACCCTTTGATCGCTTTTTCCCTTTACAATTTCTAAAAAGGGTGAAAACTAGGCACACTTATTATTAAGATTGCAACCCTATGACGTCATTTACACATTTAGGTATACCCTCTACTAATTCTTCAATAGTAGAAAATTAACCTTGAACGCAAAATGATTAATTAAAACGGTTTCTCGTCTTGAAACTGTGCTCCAGACCGTCGAGGTCTGTTTAAAGGGAATTATAAACGCAACTTGTACACAGACAAAAAGCTCATGCCTATTTAATACCGAATAATGGTGAAATTAATAGGACCAAATTTAGCTACAAAAACCACCACCGACAGCACATTATTGAAGTTAGCTACACTGACTCAGAAGGTAGTAATATTCAGAGGTCCTCAAAAGTGGTATCATTTAAAAATGTTAAGATTTTGTTATTATTATAAATAAATAAACAATTCTTATTTTCATTTTTTGTGTGTATGTCTATTTTTACGTAAATGTGAAAGATGACCGACTTTTAACGCAAGTAAGTTAAATCATTGAATAATAATCATTATTCAATGGTAGTGTAATCGCCAGCGGCACTAAAGCTGTTTTGATTGAAGCATTTGAATACAAAATGGCCGTATGGGAAAAGTTCAAAATTGGATTTTGCTTTCTTCTAATAGTCGTAACGATCTGCACCACCTTCAATGCCGTCGTTGGACTGATGATATTTTTATCTGACCCACATTACAAACTTCACACTTGGAATAAAGGTAGAATGTTAAACCAAATTTTTTTTTGAATTTATCAAATTCTAGACTGGGTTAAAACATCATGGTCCCTTTTTATCAACCAGCTATTACTCGTCATGTTCATCGTACAGCATTCCCTGCTCGCTTTACCCACCGTTAAGAATCGCATGCTTTCGTCAAATCTTAAAGTTTTTCAACGTTGCATTTATATCATTCTGACGTCTGTGTCCTTACAGGTAAATTCGCTCGTAAGGCATTTATCTAATTTGTATTTTGTAGATTCTATTGAAGTACTGGCATCCCATTCCCGAAGTAGTTTTGTGGAGTATTAATACGAATGTACGATTTTATTGGTGGTCCTTCCTGCTGTTGCATACGTTTGCTTGGATTTTAATTTATATTGGGACAATTTGTTTGGATGTAAACGAATTGCTCGGTATAAAACAGGTGTATTATAATATACGTCAATTACCCGATCCCAGCGAGTATAAGTCGCCAGATTTAAAAAGATTATATTTACACATGAGACACCCCAGCTTCATCGGATTTGTCGTCATACTTTGGTTTATACCGTTTATGAGGTTAGTTATTCCGAAGGTTTCGCACTAATTACGTCGACTTTACTTTTTAGCTTAGATCGTTTCGTATTGGCACTGATTTTAAGTGCTTACATGTATTTGGGTTGGAATACAGATAGTGCGGATCACAAGTACCAAGAATTACAAAGCCGTCGTAAATTTTACGAATTGAATTATTTAAAATAATTTTATAGACTTAACAACAATAACATTAATTTGATAACTTGTTTATTTCTTTTTAAAAATAATGCAACTAACAACACTGCCTATACTTCCTCCAAATTTGAACTGTGGAGTTGGAATTACATCGTGTAAATAGAAATGAGTGTCAAACTGTAACGTTAATTCTTCCTTAGTCCAATTGCAGGATGTTATTACCAATACACCGTTATCTGTTAAATGTTTATGTATATTTGTAATGTAAAGAGATCGTTCCTTTTGGGCATCCTTACTTAAACTTATCGCGTCGTAGGTGCCTTTATCAAGAATTACATCGTAACTATTACAAATACCATCACGTAGAATGTCACCAACAGAATAATTAATATCGGCTTGGTAGTGTGACGATACCTCCTTTGCCAAAGTGATCGCATCTCCCGAATAATCGATACCGTTCAAATTCGTGTAGCCTGCTCGCGAAAGTTGCACAAGTAGCATACCGTTTCCGCAACCTACGTCAAGAATACGGTTCGACTTTTGAATGTTATCTTCGTTCCATTTAACAATGCGATCGGCTATGTCTTCTCCAAACCATACTTCCCCTATATCGCCGTGGTTACGAAAATTCTTCACCTCCGTTTCGTAAACCTTCTTCCAATACTCTTGTGTGCCCAATTCTGACTGTTCTAATTCTTCAAACATTATTTAAGTAATAATCGCACTGACCTCTATTTAGATCAGTGAATAATCGTGGACTAATTTATCACTGCTCTAAAATCGCCCCCAAATTATGATTGTTGCTGTTGGAATTGTTGAACAAAATTTAGGAAGATTTTGTGGCCAAGTTGGTACCTAATGGTTCATTTGTCTAAAGCGTCGTCTACACACAACATCATGTATGAGTGTTAAGGTACCTTTACACTATAATATATCTCACATGATTTTTTATATGATATTTACTATACCAACATATTTTTCGTATGAGTTTTAATGTTTTAATTTACACTTGACAGGTTTTTCATATGACTTTAATACAAGAAGTTACGAAACCTATATAACTTCTCTAAATTAAAATGTTCCAAGTTCCAAGATTGGGCTACTATAATAGTTCAAAAGTTACAGCCCTTTGAATTTTCTTTCGAAATTGGTTTCTAGTCTATAACTTTTGATTGAGAAGTCTGATCGAAAAAGTACGAATTGTTTTGAATTCTACGCACCAAAATTAATAAGAACAAGTGTTTTACCGAGAAATTTTGGTGCAGTCGATTTTTGGAAAAAAGGAAGGTTATACACTGCCTTTTTTTTTGCCCCGAAAAAAAAATTGTCTTAGATCGACCCGGAAAAAAATTTTTCTTATAGAACGTGGCCTGTAGAATCCGTAATTTCAAACAGTTCCAAGATTGGGCTACTAGTTCAAAAGTTACAGCCCTTTGAATTTTTTTTCGAAATTGGTTTCTAGTCTATAACTTTTGATTGAGAAGTCTGTTTTCAGTTTAATGACTAAGTACAACTTTTTGTAAAGTAGAAGTTATGGCTAGATAGATATCGCTAGATGACGACAAAAAACTCTCCAACGCAAGAAACAAATTCAAATTGTCGCACGTTTGTTTTGAAAATTTGTTAACTAGCAGCTCCACGAGCTCTCGGACCTCGTGCGTCGAAATTTGCACTGAGTGCGTAATTGTTGCATCACATTTGCCAATGGAACACAGAAAATTGCCCTAAAATTACCAATAGAACGTAAAAATTGCACTCGTGCAGCACGAGTGTTGCCAATCGAAAACGCTATTAGACTTTGTCGGTGTGCGCAAACATGTAGTAAAGAATTTGACCATCTCGTATTCAGAGGGTTTTGTTTCTCTTTTTCAAATTTTATTTACACGAATAGCAAACAGTAAACCATTGCAAAACGATTCAAAACTACAACATGTATATGTCGTAGTCTTTTAATGAAATCCGTCATTTCACGAAACGCCTAGTCATTTATATGAAACTGTGGCACAGTGTACTTTCCAGGACCAAGCGATTGGATTCCCTTCCCATTCGAGATCGATAAATGGTATCCCTTATCGATCTAGAATCGGAAGGAAAACTACCCCACACGTACAAATTTTCAGCGTTTCACTAAATGACTAGGCCTCGGACTAGGCTTTTCGTGAAATGACAGATTTCACTAAAAGACTACGACATATACATACAAACGGCGCAAATGTGTATGATGTGTTGCCTAGTACTGGATTTGTAATATCGCACGTGGCCGTGAGGTGCCAACTTTATTCAATTGTTTGTGGATTGTGAGGGCATAACCTAAATTGTGCACGTGAAAATTTAAAATTTCCATTATTATTAACAATCCCAGTCTCTGTAATGAGTGCATCAAAAGAGGAATGCGACGAAATGCAACCGATGGAAGAAGATAACGAACAAGAACCTGAAAAATCCGTTTACTTGCCCGGTACTGTGTTAGAGGATGGAGAGGAGTTGGTGTGTGATCCGACAGCATACGTTATGCTACATCAATTGCAAACCGGTTCCCCCTGTTTAAGCTTCGACGTTATACCAGACAATATAACTCGTAACGAAGACAGTTACCCTTTAACTTGTTACCTTGTAGCCGGCACGCAGGCTATGGAAACTCACGCTAATAATGTTATTGTTATGAAACTCTCGAATCTACATCGTACATCTAAGCAGTCGGAAGAGGACGATTCTGACGAAGAAGAGGAAGAGGAGGTGCAATATCCCGCGATGGCGGCCAGTTTAATCAAACATCAGGGTGGGATCAATCGAACCCGGTGCACGGCGCTAAACGGTGTCGTGCTGGCGGCAACCTGGAGCGAATTGGGTCGCGTCAACATATGGGATTTGACCCAACAACTGCAGGCGGTGAACGATCGTGATTTATTAAAACGCTACGTCAAGGATAACGTCGGTAACGCAGTTAAACCACTGTTTACGTTCGCTGGACATCAACAGGAAGGGTTTGCAATTGATTGGAATTTGTTGGATCACGGAGTAAGTTACATCTTTTTGTTCTTTGTTTTTATTTGATGAATGCCGTTATCGATACCTTCCAATTTTTTCGGTTAGTAGCTATTTTTGTGCCTGTTTTGGCTTAACAGTCTAATTGAAACACTCGAACTGAACTCCCCCCTGCCTTCTACATATAAAACTAAAAAACTATTTCATCCTCTGTAGGTTCTCGCAACGGGCGATTGTAAAATGGACATTCACATTTGGAAACCGAAAGAAGGAGGAAGTTGGTTTGTAGATCAGCGCCCCTTAATTGGCCACAAGAGTTCGGTAGAAGATATACAATGGTCTCCCAACGAGCCTACGGTCTTGGCATCGTGTTCAGTGGACCGGAGCATACGTATTTGGGATATAAGAGCACCGCCGAGTAAAGCATGCATGCTTACGACCGAGAACGCACACACAAGTGACGTGAATGTTATAAGTTGGAATCGAAATGAGCCGTTTATTGTGAGTGGTAAGTGACTAATAACCGAATAGTTTCTTTTTCCTTAAAGCGAACGATTCCAGGAGGCGACGATGGAATTTTGAATATTTGGGATTTGAGAAGGTTTGCCGAGAAGCAACCTGTGGCAACTTTTAAACACCATACAGGTTCAATTACGAGTGTGGATTGGCATCCGACCGACTCTGCTGTGTTTGCATCTAGCGGCAGTGACGACCAAATCACGCTTTGGGATCTGTCGGTAGAGAAAGACGACGAATCGGAAGAAATACCGGTAAATCTTTTTAATTATGTTTTACAGGTGGTAAGTTTTCTTCTGCTTTAGGGATTACCTCCACAATTACTATTCATTCATCAAGGACAGAAAGATATAAAGGAGCTGCACTGGCATCCGCAAATACCTGGTCTAATCATAAGCACAGCATTGAGCGATTTTAATATATTTAGAACTATTAGTATATAATAAAATTTTAATTATTTCCAATTAATTGTAAATTAATCAAGTGTCGTATTGTCGGCCTTCCGTGGGGACAATTCTGAAAAAAAGCGATGAGGTGGACCAAAATTCTGTTGTACATTTACCCAAGGTTGGTCTATTACGCCCATATGATCTATGATACGCCTCATATCATTTTGGTTAAGAGGACAGCCCACCATTACGCTCTTACGACATGCCCTTGAGGCAAGCATGGATCGTACACGCGACGGTCTGCATATCGCATGGTTAACTTCTTCCTAAAATAGCGTTAAAGAGGATGACAAATTGTACACCTCAAACTTACCTGCAGCATGAACAGTATTTCGTCAATGTCGTCTTTTCCAAATACAAAATTTTTACTAATTGGCACTGCCGATAATTTCACCTTTTTTGTTGATGGCGCTGAAACATTTATAAATATAAAAATTGCAATATAAATGTGTTGTGATGTGATTATATATTAAGTAATTGCGAAAATACTACGCTCGAATCTAACAAGAAGTGTTCTTACCTGATTTAAACAAAAGTTTATCGAAATATTTCTACGAAAATTTTTAAGCAGAACATTGAGAACAAAAATATCAAACGCAAGATTTTTAAAACAAATATATAGTATATTAAGTATGGAGAACGGTAAGGGATTTTTACCGTTCGAAGACAATTGTTTGGAGGAGGAGCGAAGCGACGACTCCAATTATTGTCTGAGAACGGTAACCCTTAACGTTCGACGTGCTTATAACATTTTTTGCGCGATCGAAATTAAAATTATCCAACCAATATAAATATGCACTAAGAAATTAACGAGCAGAATAAATCGAAATGATCGAAGTGGTATGGTGTACATCACTAGGCAACCAGTTTAAATGTCAAAATTGAAATTAATAATTTCATAAAAATGTGCATGTGTCTGATGTAGTTTACTAGCTTTGTACTACCTTTATGACTTTATGAGCGTCTTGCTATAGGAAACAACAGCACAAATTGTACGATTAATGTACCTAACAATAATTAAAGATTAAATGTAATGTAAGATTATTGATTTTTAAAAAGGCGTCGTCGTAATCATAGCAACTGGTAAATTCTACGTACTGTCATGGAAACACCCATGGTAAATAGTCAGAAATGACCGATCGCGCAAAAAAGTATTTTAATTAAAAAAATCAGATAACACAATAATAATATTTAGAGAAATTTATGCTTTCATAGTCAAGTCTCACTGTTAATCTGAATCGCGAATAAAGAATTCTGTAAATTTCCAGCATTTAAAAGGGTACGAGTACCCTTTGGTGTTATTTAAAAAAAGTACAAGTTAATATTGGTTTGTGCACCATGTACCTCTTTGTCATAAGAGCCTCTCACACCTAAAGAAGCCAAGTTGCAGCTAATTATATACAAAGGTGGCACATCAATTTCCCGAGAAAAGAAATACGGATGAACGCAAATACAAGGGAATAAACACCTAATGGAAAAATATGCAGGAAAGATCGGGCATACTAGTACATAAAACGAGACAACACTGACCTTTATTATCGATGACAAATTTAAAACCGTTATTTCGAAAAACCCCCTCATTCTCGATTAGCAATTCCTCTTTGTCCGCCGACAGCTCAAGCGAACGCGGACTGCAAACAAGCTTAAAATGACATCATGCTAAACGGGTTTTAAAAACGTACTTGACAAGCGCCTGGCTTTCGATGACTGTATTCCTTTGCAAATCCTCAAAGTTGTACTTTTCATCGGTCGCGTGCTGATCGACGATAAACAGGTCGTCCTCAAATTTCGTTATGATAAAACCCAAATTGAATTGTCCGATTATCTCCATTTTTTCGAACGTGCCCCTCGTGATTTGTCGTTGTAATTCCTGCTCGGCCGCCTTATTCGCGTCGGGAGCGATCTTTGATCGAAATCGTAACTTGAAGTCTTTGCCAACCTTTTGTTGACTTCCGCTTATACGCTCGCGTATGTGACTTAGTGACGAGCGTACCGTTACAGACTTGATGGGTGAGTGTGTCGTATCGGAATCGTCAGTCTTTGTGTGGTTTTTTGGACTTATACGTGTAGAATTATCATTTATTTTTGCTTCTTCCGAATCCGGTAAGGAACTTACAAGTTTCAGTTCACTTTCAAGTTCCGTTCGGTTATCAACAATTTTAATTCTTTTTGCCGGATTGTGTACCATATCTACAAGAACTTGGGTGGCAGTCTCGAGTCGTTTTCCCAAAGATTTGCTCGAAGTCCTTGCTGTTGGAATTTGAACTTCTGAGGAATGTGATTCTGCTAGCTTTTCTTCCTCTTCAACACCTTCAATAAAGCTTCGGGAGCCTGGAGATTCACTGGGTGTAACACCTTGTTGCACATCTGACTGTGAACTTTCGATGTTGTCTTCAGGTATTCTAGGAGGTTCACTACTGTCAGCTGGCCTGCCTTCAATATCTTGCGCAATTTGGATAAGATTCTCCAGCCTTTCTTCTGGAGTTTTTGTTGGTATTACGCCGAAATCTGTTAATGCCGATTGTTTCGTCTTCTGGATGTTCGTTTTGTTTTGTTTCTTAAAGGACTCCAATTTCAAAGAGGTAGCTGTAAGTTAATACATTACAATAGTTTATGGTTGCAACAAATACAATATCCGTTTCGAAAGCATGGACAGTAGCGAATTTACCTCAATTGTGAGACCCGAAGTGGTTGAGGGTGACTGATTGTGTCTAGCTCACCTAACCATTATGTAAAAGGCTTAAGAAATCAAAAATATCTTTAGTAGTTTTGAAAATATCGCAAAAAAACATTATTCAGACACTTTTTAATTTTTCGGGAAGAGTGCTTTGGAAAAACAAAACGTTCTTTTATCGTGAACAAAAGTATGACAGTTTGATCCATCTGTCTGGTTAGAGCATTGGCAGGGAACTAGTTGAGTTCAGATTTTCATCTGAATATAATTGAACATTCGTTTTGCAAGAAAATTATAATTCAAATTAGAACAAAATACTTAAGAAGAAATAATATTTTCACAATAAATCTAGCACAAACGTAAATTACACTACTTGAAATAAGTAGACCTTTTGTTCACAACAAAAGAACGTTTTGTTTTTCCAAAGCACTCTTTGCAGAAAATTAAAATTGTAATTTTAGGAAAAATGTGTTGCTGAACCACCATGTGTGATATCGTTGTAAAGAGAAAAAAAGACGTAATCTCAAAATGTCAAAATCCAAAACGGCGCCCATAAGAAAAATTAAAGTTGCCACGTGTTTCTCAGTCATCTTAAAAGTTATTGAAAACGGGATGCCATATTCGAAATCTTCATTAAAAAGTGTCCGAATAATGTGTTAATTAGAAATGTCTACTACAATTAGTTTATCATAAAAACAGAAATTATCGTTTTTTTGCGATATCTTCAAAACAATTGAAGATATTTCAAATTTCTTTTCAGATTCTTATTCGGCACGAAAATTGGCAACTTTTCCCCCATTTAGGTAACCAACTTTCTATCTCTTAAGATAAGCGAGATCCCCATAGTGGCACTCGAAAAATGGACACCGTGTATATTGCTGCCTTTTTGAACTGAATAAAATTTCCTTTCGCTTTTATGCCTTTAAGAATATTCCAACGACGCTTAACACAACCACTCTCACAACAATTAAGCAAAAAAAATTGACAAACAGGAAACAATTACAACAGACTGCCAATAAAACGTCTGTGACCATCAGATAAGATCTCCAATGAACAATTAAATTTAATATTTAAGTATACCTAATTTGTTGTCATTCTTAATATCAACATCGAGCGTTTTCCCCCCAATTTTTCCGCTGGATGGAGGTAATGTTGACAAGGAACCCCTGAAATGATCACCTAGAGAGGTCTTCAATGTGGCCAGCAATAACTTTTCCTTTTCGAGAAATATCTGCCGTTTATCGGGCGTAACGTTAACGTCGACGAATAACTTTTCCATAACCACATTCAGGAAGACGAACGGAAACTGATTTGGATTGAATTGCTTGTACGTGTCGTTGATTAGTTTACTGATTTTGTTCGGCTCGCAAGGTCGTTCGTTGACGTAGAAAAACTGGCGGTCGTTGGTGCTGCGGCCGCTTCCGTGCGATGCGCTCGAAATTAGCAGCTCAAAATTAAAAGGCAACGGCTCTCTCGGTGACGCTCTAACTTTGTATTCCTCCAGGACGCTTTCGTCCGGATCTATCATCTTGACGTCCGACAAAAGATGGACTTGCTTTGGCCCAAAAACGTGCATAATATTATCACGAACCGAACTGGAACCCTCGGTACATATAACGGTAGATCGCGGAGAATTGTTTGTTTCATTAACGCAAGTAAATCTAAAAGAGAATTTATTCAGTGGACCAAATGAGAGGACACCTACTTAACTCCTTTCGCAACGAGGCAATATGCCTGGAGCATTTGGCACATTTTACTGTACTCTTTCTTTAGATTCTTCTTAAACTCCTTTCGTCTAACGGGTAAAGTGGAAAATAAACCTTTTAAAGTTACTGTAGTCCCTATTTCCCTGGCGGCCGGTACTTGGGACGTAATGCCGCCAGCATTGTCATAACAAATTTTTGATCCGCGCTCCGATGTACCGTGTCTCGTAGTAATGCTAAGCTCCGCCAGTGCGCAAAGTGAACTAAGCGCTTCGCCTCTAAATCCCAACGTTGCAATCGAATCTAAATCACTAAACTCCCTAATCTTTGAAGTATAATACTTAAGTGCTAAAATATCGATTACTAGCTCGACAATATTGTTCGAAATTGCTCTTACTAAGCGCTTGGAAATTGTCCGACCTTACACCACATCCGTTATCTCTCACCTCGACAAGCTCTTCACCAAATTGTTTTAAACGTACGTCGATACTTTTAGCACCTGCATCTAAGGCGTTTTCGACCAATTCCTTTACAGCAATGGCCAGACTTAAAACAACCTAAAAAAACGTAGAATTCATACTGTACGAACAGAAAGAAGCAAATTACCTGACCAGAACATATGCGATGAACTGTATTACGATTGATCGGTTTGATAGTATCAGAATGCGATTCCTCATTGTCGGACACATCTTCCATGTGCATATTATTAGACATGGACAACATACAGTAGTTATGTATATATTATATAAATAAAAAATTGTAGACTTTTTAAAAGTAGTTAAAATATTATAACCAAACGGCGCCAAAAAATGTTGACAGTGACACTTAGGTTTTTCAGCGCCATCTTTCTTTTTTTTTAGAAGGAATACGGTGGCTAAAGCATACCTATGTTGCCGTGTATACAGGGTGGATTTTAGAGCAAATAGTTATTTGTTTCATTAGTACAAAAAATGTCAGTTTTCGGGACGAGGAAGATAGTTGCTGGACGACGCGTTAGCGGAGTCCAGCAACCTTCCGAGTTCCGAAAACGCATTTTTTGTACGAATAAAACATAAAATTTTTTCTCCAACCCCCTTTACTTCAAATTATATTCAAATTTAGATTCAGTCACAGTTTCACTACTATAGTATAAGAACTTCTGCTTTCTTGTCCTCACGTGTCATGCCACTCTATGCTTTTAGGTTAACTTATAACCTATTCGTTCTTACTTCTGACTTCTCACCTCTCGCGACTTTGTAGGGAGCAAATCTTGAGGTAGCATGTTCTGCCGTTTCTAAAATCTCTGGCGAAGTGCAATCCATGTCGCTATCAGTTTCAGTCATTTCTATTGTATACACAATTAATATTGTTATATTTTGTATTGAAATAACAAACTTACCATACAGTTTTTTAATTAAAATTAAATGCAATTAACTTTTTCAAATTTTGAATTCAAAATGACAGATAATAGTGCAATGGGTCTGAAGTAGATGGCGTTACGCGCGACGGCGGGTTGTATACGTATTAAAATTACGTTCATCCAATATGTAAATTACATTACACATGGTTTAAATAAAAATAGCGAGCGTAAATCATTTTCAATACATGTACATACGTATAGGTAACATCATTATTTGCATTGAATAAGCAAAAATATTTGATTTGTATGTATAGAAATATCTTACAACCTGCAATGTAAAACGATGTCAATGTGACATATCTCCGTGATTGTAATTTTTTAATTGGCCAACTTTCAAGGTCAATTTCTTTTTGGTACTAGGACCAAAAGTATCCACTTTTTGTACAGTTGCCATGGTGAAAGCGATTAATCCGCAAAACGTCAATTTTACGTACCGAACACTGTCACAAAATAGCGTCTTATTCAGGTGGTTGGAGAAAAAATGTATTAGTTTTTTGTAAAAAAAAATTTTTTACGTCAATCAACCGTATTAGTTTTCAATTTTATGCATAATAAAGACGTTAAATTGGAAAAATAAAACCCGCATCTTTTTCAATAATCTGCGATGCCATGGAATTTTCTAAAACAAAAAGATATCGCACATTTTTGCTCTAAATAAATTGGGGAGCCAATAATCACATGTTATGAATTTTACATTGAAATCCCTATGATGCGTTACGCAAGTCACCACCCTGTATATATAAAAGTATATACAGCCTGTTTCAGAGTAAGCATCTTATTTTTTTTACCACACTATGGGTACTACTTTTCAAAATATTTGGCTGTAATATGTTTCAAGACATTATCTACGCGACGGTGATATCAGATTTTCAATTGGGCGAATTATTTCAAAATGGAAACTTTCAACTTGTTTTTAATAAAATGCCACCATTTTTAACATTGGAAATGTTTATGTTTTCGCGAGTGTTATTGTATATGGGTATAAAGTTATGAGTTTCGTTCTAGCTGTGAAAAGACGGCGGTTTCGTATCTGTAAGCATAATAGATAACAGATAATAAGTTTCATAAAACGCACAAAATTCCTATCTTTGTTTAATTTAGGTCAGACAAGATAACAGCGATGACTGTTTCTTTCAATCGCTTGCTCACAGTTATAATGAAAAAGGCGAGGAAAAAGGTTCCAAAAACACGATCAGAAAACTTGATGAAAATGAGAAAAATTTGCTATGGCTACCAGAGAAACCATGCGCTATTCTGCCCTTTTATGTCTAAGAATACATGTACCAAAATTGGTTCAGCCGTTTAGCACGAAAAGAGCTTCAAAACGTGTATTTCCGTCAAAAAGTGGGGAATAATTTTTGTCCCCAATGCAATACCTCCCTTACTTAAGTGTGGGTGGTAAAAAAATAATAAAATCATACATTTATGAATCTTTTAAAGTTTGTGAGAGATTTTAAGCTCCAACTCAAAATTATAAATATCGATTAATATAAGAATATTAAATGAGCTATGTGATGGTTTTGTCCGTCCGTTCGTCTGTATGTTCCTTGTTTAACTGAAGAACGAAAAAAGACAGTAATGTCAAACGTTCGCTAACCGATTTCTATCAGTTCAAGGATCAGTGTTACATATTGAATATGAGCCGGACTAAAGGCCGGGTTTCCGAACGCGAGGCGAGTGGCAAAAAATTCCCAGTACTGAAAATAATATGTGATTCTTCGTATCTTGTTTGTTAGGGCGACAGTATACTCGGACTTTATTAAAACAAAGATTTATTGTAAAATGTCTAACTACATATAAAAAATAAACAGCACATAAAATAATGAAATTTGACAAGACACAAAAATTACGTTTACTTAAAATTGAAATGCAGATATAACAAAACATATCAATAACAGAACATTTAAACTGACTTAAGTATAACGATGTATTTCGAAGACGCATTAAAGTTTAGAGGTTTTATTTTCGGTACCTGAATATCAGTTAAAGAAAATAAAACCCAATGGAAGTACGTACACACTATGTACAAGTACCAGAACGTGTACTTAGAATGTAGATCAAAAATTGTGCATCTAAGAATGCATGAATAGCGACAGTGGTCTGCAAGTAAAAAAATTGTATCGTCAAGAATTACCAAAGAAACGTTATTTTTTTCCTATATCAAAAGCACCACCTTGTGCAAATGAATCGTTTAACGTGCGACACTACGAAAAGGTAAAAAACAGTGACAATGTTCTTAGTCTAATTAAATTAGTAAATTAGTCATGTAAATCATATCACAAATGCTACGTCAAAAACTGATCTAAATAAGCACATTTTTAATCTACACAGTCATTGGAAATAGTCCAACGAATAAATTGCACTGAGTCGCCTAATTCCCCAAATTGTTCATCGAGTAATGTGCGTATCTTCGGTAACATTGCAATTGCTGTCACGACGATTAGTATAACTACTGGAAGACAACAACCCCCGTTTGCTATCCGCTATCACCTTCAAGAAACGTCAAATTAATGTCACATAAAATATCGGGAAACTTGACATATCAAATACCTTAGGCTTAGGCATAAATTTGAGGTCGCTGCGGTCAGACAAATAGCTCTGGAATACTGCTCACAAAAACATAGAAACAAAGCCAAACTAAAGACGAAGGCAACACAAAAAATGCACAAGCAAAACTTGTCAAAATAACATTTGCTCACGTTACCTGATTTTTTTAGTTTATTTTCCTTTGTGATACGTCTATCTATCGAAGAAGACTCGGAACTGTCAAGCGCGTCACCAGAGTCTGGCGTATTCCCGGTGGAGTTTACGGGTGACGAGCCATCGCTCAATAAACTTAAATCTGTCGAGCGTGGTTCCGAGTTCACCATTGACCACGGACGTGGTTTAGGAGCAATAGGTGGAGCCGATTTCAATTTGGTAAGCGATAAAGAATCAGTATTGGCTAGTTCGAATGAATTAAAAACATCAATATAATAACAACATTTATTTAATAATACCTGTTTTAGAACTATCTGGAGAAACTCCTTTTGAGAGAGTACCGCTCGGAGAGGAATGGTCCAATGGAATGTGCATTTCAGCAGCAATGCTTCCATCACTGCTTTCCCTCGACAATAAACTGTCTCCAGTCAGTCTGCGCGCTAAGGGTGAAGAAACATCCGAATTACTTTTCCTAGTTAACAGTGGCGAATATTTCTCTAAATTATCGCTCGACCTCGACCTCGGAGTGGGGTTTAGCAAACCTGTTGGCAGGGTTAAAGCGAATGTTTTCTTGTAACACAGAAATTACCTTTTAAGTGAGGTGAGTTACGACTTAATTTCGGTGTTTTACGATCCTCATTCAAAATAGGAGAAGCAAAATCGTGATTCGGACTTCCTTCCGCTTGAAAGGAACTGCAATCGTCGGACGTGGGCGTAACCGATCCCGGTCGAAAGAAGGTATCTAAACCTTCTCCTAAGTCCGGCGCATCTGCAGACTCGCCAGGTCTTAACAAAGGGCGGGTGGGAGCTCTCGTCTTGGTTCGACGAGGACGACCTATATATATTATAAATTGGAAGGATAACATTTTGTTTTATTTATCGTTTGGTAGTTTTGTTAATACACGGTGTCCATTTTTCGAGTGCCACTATGGGGATCTCACTTATCTTAAGAGATAGAAAGTTGGTTAAATGGGGGCAAAGTTGCAAATTTTCGTGCTGAATAAGAATCTGAAAAGAAATTTGAAATATCTTCAATAGTTTTGAAGATATCGCAAAAAAACGAAAGTTTCTGATTTTTGTTTTTAATTTTTTTGTGATAAACTAATCGTAGTAGACATTTCTAATTAACACATTATTCGGACACTTTTTAATGGAAATTTCAAATATGGCATTCTGTTTTTAATAACTTTCAAGATGACGGAGAAACACGTGGCAACTTTAGTTTTTCTTATGGGCGCCATATTGAATTTTGACATTTTGGGATAACGTCTTTTTTTCTCTTTACAACGATACATCACACATGGTGGTTCAGTAACACATTTTTCGTAAAAATACAATTTTTAGTTTTTTGAGAAGAGTGCTTTGGAAAAACAAAACGTTCTTTTGTTGTAAACAAAAGTTTGACAGTTTGATCCATCTGTCAGGTTGCAGCGTTGTCAGAGAAGTAGAAATTCGATTTTCATCTGAACAGAATTGAACCTTCGTTTTGCACAAAAATTATAATTCAAATTAGACCAAAATACATCATAACATGTGTTCAAATTGCCCACCTCCTAATTCTGAGCACTGTGCCACTCTCTTCCTAAGATTTGCTATGGCTCTTGACACATCCCTTCTTCGAATCTTGTGCCTGAGAGTGCTCCCAATTCTATGACGAAGTTCATCAAGGTCGACCGGCAATGTTTTGTAAATTCAGCTGGGCTGCAACTTCTTTTGAGGAGACAGATGGATTGTTTTATTGCACCTAATTAACAATTATTAAATGATGAATAGATCAGTAGTTGTAATCATGTAAAATTTTTACTGCTTGCAATATTGCCTACTCATATTCATTGGGTCTATCACCATATTGCTGTCTACCGAACCATATTCGCCCAAGTTTTTATGCAGCAAAGAAAAATCCCTCAAACTAGATTGTTGCCGCTCTGGATAACGCTGCAAGTATGTTGCAGCAGCCATATGTGGGCATTTCAATGAAAAGTGTAGTAAATTTGCATCATATCTCTTTGATCTGCACTTGAAAAAGGCATTTTCGCAATACAACTAGCATAAACCTAAATGACACTACATGAAATAAGACAACCTTTTGACACAACAAAAGAACGTTTTGTTTTTCCAAAGCACTCTTCTCAAAAAATATTTACTTAAAATTATTTTTAGGAAAAATGTGACACTGGACCACCATGTGTGATATATCGTTGTAAAGAGAAAAAAAGACGTAATCTCAAAATGTGAAAATTCAAAATGGCGCACATTAGAAAAACTAGAATGGAGTTCCCAATTATTTAAATAAATAACCAAATTTTACCTTTGACGAGGTGTTGCAGTTGGTGAGTTGCATTTGGAAGCTCGGTAACAGAGTCTTCCTCTTCGGAATTACGAGAGATGCTCGGTAATAGACTAGGAATATCATCGGCTGATAAACCCTCGACACTATCCACAACTGACTTTGGTCTCAGTTTACGTCCATGTAAGCTTTTGCGTTTGATTGAAAGGTGTGGAGTGGCCTAGGTATTATATAAACCTATGACTAGTAATTCTTTAGAAACAGTGACGATATACTTACTAAATTTAAATATTCCAATTTCTGAACGTATGCAATGAATTTTTAATTAAAGTTTTACGTCAACTAATGATAGCGAGCTCTCAATTATAAACAGAGTGTATCAAAACGTTATGATTGTGCTTTTTTAATTTGTCAATCTTTGCAAATATTTGAGAGCACTTTTTAAAAGCGAAGACTTACCATTGGTGAATGATCAGACTGATGACTACTATCTGTAATTGATATATCTGATGCTCCGTGACGGGACGAATCGGAACTATTCAAACGAGATCTTCTGGGAGGCGAATCGAGATGTAAGCCGGACGTGTCACCAACCAAAATTTTGTAACTCCTTAACAATCCGTCTTGTACTTCATCAACAATGTGTTCCGATATTTGTATCGCCATGGAGGAACACACCTCCCTATTAAACAAATAAGGAAAATTGTGCTAAGAGCTGCTCCATTTTTTACCTTATCTTCGCCATAATGTCTAGTCCTGCTTGCTGCTTAATAGTGGTCGCTACGAATTCTAGCGGTATCTCGTTCTTACTTTTACAATCTTTCCTAATATCTTGAATTACAGGATTATCACGTAAAACATACGGACACAGGTCTTTACAGGTTTTTAACATTATTTCAGTTGTAGTCTGAAAGTGGTCGTTGAGGTTTTCCCCTTTTCTAAACAATATTTACCTGTAGATGATCGCCTATAGTGGCGTGAACATCACATATGACCTGTTGAAGTTTGGTTTCAAGTGGATGGGGTTCTTCTTTTTGTTGCGCGACTTCTTGAAGTCGAACTAAAACGTGTCGGCAGCTGTTGGCATCCTGAATAACACCGGTGGCATGATTAATGTCATTATTGGAAGATATCGACTCGGCAGTCATGTTTTTGATAGCTTCCTGTGTTTGAATGATGAGCCTTGCCATTGACTGTTGTTTTGAGCTAATTTGGAAACTAGGTTGTAAAACTAGAGAATTTCTGTTGACGTATTTTTTAGGAGCCGCATTTCTGTTAAGTAAATCTTGTATTTTCCGCATAATCGCTTCAGTACGCTCGGCCGACGCTTTCATGCAAGGAGTAACGTCGTAAATTGGATATGGCATGTATTGAACAGCGTGGTTACTTTCTAATGCGTACGCTATATCGTGAAAACCTTGCAGTGTTATATTGTTGCGGTCATAAATAATTGTGCGTAATCTACTATTAATTTGTAGAGCCTTAGCTAAAAGCCTAGCACCGGAGTCGCCAATTAAATTACCACTAATGTCTATCATTTCGAGACACTTATTATCGCCTAAGGCGTTCAGAAAATTATGCAGGTCAGACTTAAGCCTCGAGTCGGGAATCACTAAAGACTGCAAGACACAATCTTCATCTTGAATTATTTGTACTACTGAATCCATAACTGTTGAAACATGCTTCGCTTTCATATTAATCATGTTTCGGCCCATGCTTAAATGTTTTAAGGATTTATTTTTACTTATTGCTACTATAACTCCTGCCAGATCTACATCCATATCTGTAAGCAGTACACTTTAATCTATGGTTCCAGAAAAAAAGACACAATAAGCTTACTATTATCTGAGATATCTAGACTAGATATACATCGAACCCCATGAACACAAGATTCCAGTACATGCGCTCCCTGAGAACCCAATGAATTACTCGTCAAGTCTAAGCTCATCTCCTTAGTGTATTCGTTACAAGCCAATCCCAGTAACAAATTTCTACACAAATTTCAAATTAATAATCATACTTAGAATAGCCCAGGAGTCCGCAGTAGGTAAATAATTAATTATTTATTGTGTTTATTAACGTACGTTTTTAAAGTTCACCGCTGGAACATGGTGTCGAACCCTTAAGGCTACAACAGGGTTTTTTTCCGTTTTGAAAGATCGATTTACCGATTTAGAAAATTTCACTCATAGATAACTTGATTTTTTCAAAATCGATTTCTCAACACGTAATAGTTATTTACATATGAGTATGGTAAATCAAGGTTTACGTTAACGGGTAATGTTAACTGATTTAACATACAAATAATGTAAAACATTTTATTTCATACTACTCTTTTTTTTTTTAATTAAAATGCCATACAATTTTTGATTAGAATGTTGTACGCATTCAAATGAAAACAAAAGTCAATCACTTGATTTGCTTGATCTGACAGTAGTTTGACACATTAACATATAGGTTTATATGGATGTCAGTTGATGTTGCTAGGCAACATTTCCAGTCTGGTAAAATATGATTTACCAGACTCAAATGGGTCTGGGAAAGCGGCGATTACTAGATAGTATGAAATAAAAAGAATTCCACCATGCTAGCTCGAATTACATTGGTACATTTTATGGTAAGTAATTTCACAAAGTCACAGCTTGCTCAAAATAACTTTGACAATTACTACTACATTCAATTTTCTTCAGACATACCCTTTTTTTAAAAAATATCGATTTGCGGCTAAACTGTTGATTTTAGAGCAATAAAAAAAAAGAATGCTCGCTCCTGGACTACATCATTAATAGACTTACTTGAGCGCTTCTTGTGGCAGTTTACAAAATGCCATGTTAAGATACTTTAAACTTAGAGAGCTCGTAAAAAACTGTTTGAACGATAATGGCGATTCCTTACTTTTCTTACTACTAAAAGGGTTTTTCGATACATTTAAATGAACTAGATTACTTGTACAGCCTCGAACTAGAGCACCAAATAACTACAAAAATCAGCCTGATTAAACAAGACAACAGATGTAGGGTGTCCGGGATTCAGTGGGATTGCAATGGTAACTTTGCTATAAAAGATTAGATTCAATAGACAGTTTTATGGACTGACTAAAATTCTGAACGCAGTTTTGCGTTACTTCTGGAACGCATGATTTTTTAGGAATCAACCGTTTCCATTAAATAACTTTTAAACTGGTCAGAATTTTGAAATTTTCTACATGGATTTTATTCAGCACATTAATCTACACAACTTTGCCTTTGCAATCTCAATTGACCTGGAACACCCCATAGTTATGAATAACTCACACTATCTAAAATAATATCCGTCGATGAAAGATCCAAATGTCGCAACGCATTTGGTTGTCCCAACAAAGTATACAAATTCTAAAAATAAGCGTTATTAGAGTAATTATCTCACCTTACATCACGGTTCCAATACTTCTAAGAAATTTTCTGTGCAATGTACAATTAAAATTGTAATGGACCTATTTTAAGCACGAAGTAGAAGGTTTTTTAATTTTGTTTAGATATAGTGTGTGTGGATGAAAAATTTAAACAAAAGTGAAGCAATATTTTGTTCACTTCACAGAAAATACCTTAATTCTGATACGATTTATAAACGTATATCTACACGGTGTCCATTTTTCGAGTGCCACTATGGGGATCGAGTTGGTTAAATGGGGGCAAAGTTTCGAATTTTCGTGCTGAATAATAATCTGAAAAGAAATTAAAAATATCTTTAGTAGTTTTGAAAATATCGCAAAAAACATTATTCAGACACTTTTTAATTTTTCGAGAAGAGTGCTTTGGAAAAACAAAACGTTCTTTTATCGTGAACAAAAGTATGACAGTTTGATCCATCTGTCTGGTTAGAGCGTTGGCAGGGAACTAGTGGAGTTCAGATTTTCATCTGAATATAATTGAACCTTCGTTTTGCAAGAAAATTCAAATTAGAACAAAATAGTTAAGAAGAAATAATATTTTCACAATAAATCTAGCACAAACGTAAATTACACTACTTGAAATAAGCCAACCTTTTGTTCACAACAAAAGAACGTTTTGTTTTTCCAAAGCACTCTTCGCAGAAATTTAAAATTGTAATTTTAGGAAAAATGTGTTACTGAACCACCATGTGTGATATATCGTTGTAAAGAGAAAAAAAGACGTCATCTCAAAATGTCAAAATCCAAAACGGCGCCCATAAGAAAAATTAAAGTTGCCACGTGTTTCTCAGTCATCTTGAAAGTTATTGAAAACGGGATGCCATATTCGAAATCTCCATTAAAGTGTCTAAATAATGTGTTAATTAGAAACGTCTAGAACGATTAGTTTACTATGGAAAAATTAAAAACGAAAATCAGAAATTTTCTTTTTTTGCGATATTTTCAAAACTATTGAAGATATTTTAAATTTCTTTTCAGATTATTATTCAACACGAAAATTCGCAACTTTGCCCTCATTTAACCAAATGTCTATCTCTTAAGATAAGCGAGATCCCCATAGTGGCACTCGAAAAATAGACACCGTGTATATACTAAATGAATAATAATCGAAGGTCTTTTCAGAACCCTAGTGAAAAAATGCCAGCAGTAAATATCAATGAAATGATACAGATCAATACCAGAACACAAAGCAAACAGATTTTTCATAATATACTTACAACAATATCATCTTTTAAACTATTACCACTTAAACTGAGGTAGGTTAATGTGGTATATATGTTACTATTGGCAGTAAGTGCATAAGCTAATTGATTCACTCCTTTTGAAGTTAGCCCACAATGCGACAAGTTAAGATGCACCAGCCCTTTATTTAATCGGGACACGCAACCAGTTAGATTTATGGCACCTATGAGGAAAGCAAGCTCGAAATCACATCGTACTTGACGCAAACTTACCCTTATCCTCTATCATATTATTGGATAAGTCTATTGTATTAACGCAATTGGCAACATTGCACTTAACCGCATTAGTTAATTTATTAACAAAATCGGCTTTCAGTCCTAAATTGTCCAAATATAGCTCCTCTAAGCTCAAAGATTTTTTTAACACATGTAGCACACGATCCATCGTTTCATGTGAGAGTCGCACATGATTGGCTCGTAGCTTTGTAAACCAAGTATTATACTCGAGAGCGCTTATTATAGGTACTATGTCTCTAAAAACGACGTTTCAATTATCTAAAAATAAACGGCCATCTTGATTTACTTTTGTTCTAGATGTTCAAAGTCTTTAAGACATAATTCCCTCGTGTTTAATGTGACATATATGTTATCAACATCCCAAGCAACTTCTTCTCTGTATGGCATGTTATGGAAATCGCACATGCACGCATATTGAGTTGAAAAACCTCCACACGGACCAACCTCACGAGTTGTTGTCAACACTTCAATGTCTCGCAGTTGTTGCAGACGCGTGTTTGGAATTACCTCTATCTAAAAACGACAATTATTACGATACCGATCTGTTGTAACAATTCGTACCTTGCGAATGATATACTGTAAAGGAACAGTGGGGAATATATTACGGATAGCCGTTGCCAATGCTGAAATCATGATATCAACCTCAGTGCTACAGGCGGAATCGTCTCCGGCCAAAAACGAGTACGCCTTATCATTTACCATTAAACTTAATTGATTTCCTCGTTTGCTTTCCAATGCTTGAATCTCCAGATAGTGGAAATGGCAATCAATCTACGGAAGACGTTGTAAAATATGGAACGTATTATGTGTATTACTCACTCTAGTTGGCACTTTAGCTGTGAGTAATAATATTCGGCAAGGTGAAAACACCTATAATAATAGGCATAATAAAAAAGGTGTATCCATGAAACTAGCAAGATTAATGGATAATTTTAAGCACATTTTGTATGTCACCTAGTCAAACCTAAATATACAGGGTGGTGCCTAGCGCAACGCAGCATAGGGATTTCAATGGTAATTTCTTTACAGTCAATTACTAGCTCCCCTAATTATTTTAGAGCAAAAGTCTAAATACGTTTTTTTTAGAGAAAAAAATACTCACTCTGTTCATACTTTTAGTTATAATTTTCCATTTTGCAAAACCGTAAAAATTCACAAAATAAAAAATTACATTTTTATAAATCAGTGATGCTTTGGAGGCATCTTAGGGTAATGTTTTTTTAGAGAATGTATGCTGCATCTGGGGGTCTGAGGTGCACCACAAAAACATTTTAAAGTACTCCTTTCTAGAAAATCAATTGATTGAGATTGAGCTACTAGTTCAAAAGTTACAGCCCATTGAATTTTCTTTCGAAATTGGTTTCTAGTCTAAAACTTTTGATTGAGAAGTCTAATCGAAAAAGTACGAATTGTTTTGGATTCTACGCACCCAAATTAATAAGAAAAAGTGTTTTCCCGAGAAATTTTGGTGTAGTTGATTTTTGGTAAAAAAAGGAAGGTTATACACTGCCTTTTTTTGAGCCCCATAGTCCACAACTTTTGATTCAGAAGTCTGATCGAAAAAGTACGAATTGATTTGGATTCTACGCACCCAAATTACCTAATAAGAAAAAGTGTTTTCGCGAGAAATTTTGGTGTAGTCGATTTTAGGTAAAAAAGGAAGGTCGTCGTTTTCCTGATGGTTTTAACGGACATTTTGAATGTTATTCCGCTTGCAGTTCTTTAACTAATTTATAAACAAGTATAAATTTAATAAACGTCAAAGGCAAATAATGAAACGTGATCGCTGTTTTTTTTGGTAATTCCAAGGCATATTTGATTTATTGCAAAATGAACCATTTTATTTTGGCGATTTCTACGGTTTTGAAAAATGGAAAATTATAACTAAAAGTATGAACAGATAGATGCAGTATTTTTTTCTCTAAAAAAACGTATTTACACTTTTGCTCTAAAATAATTAGGGGAGCTAGTAATTGACTATAAAGAAATTACCATTGAAATCCCTATGCTGCGTCGCGCTAGGCACCACCCGGTATATTACAAACACAAAATAATAGTTATTTACATAAGTCAGAAGAATGGCACATTATAATGGCGAGGTAGTAGTACTTCCGTATTTCTGAGTCAAGTAATGTAATTTTACGGACGAGTTTTGTATTAAATCTTACCCAAAATCGTATTTTAATATAAAATTTCAATTTGCATATAGAACATTTGATTAATGTCAATCTGTCAGTGATCACAGGAGTATAGCCATTAAAGCTGGATTCACATGAATACGAAATCCGGTCATCCGCAATGCTTATGATTGGTCAATAGTTTGAAATGTCAAGCACATTTCAAATTATTGACCAATCATAAGCATTTCGGATGATCGTATCGTCAGATTTCGTATACATGTGAATCCAGCTTTAGTCATAAGTGTTTAAGCGTTTAATTGTGCATATCTAAGCAATTTTTAGGGCATTGTATATTTTGAAAAAGCATAAAACTTCATTTTCCACGCATTAATTTATTAAAAGCGCATGCTCTTCGACACTCATCTAAAGAAACTTATACAGAAAGTAACAAAAAGTGGATTTTATTTTTAAAACTAATCATCGGTATGTAATTTACAAATATCCTCGTACTCAACATTGCTAACTTTACGTCCCTTTAAAACACCCGAGGCAATCTCAATTTCTGCACAAAACCGTTTCTCGTCGATTCCCAAAAGTGTGGCGTTTTGATTTCGGTACGCTCCATTTACAACTTTCACAGCACGCCCGACCGCAGGTATCACGGTTTCCAAATGTTCCTGATCTAGTTTCAGTTTATGACCCGAATCGATCATCTTAATAACGGCAGCGTACTTGTTTTTTACATCTGTTATAACGCCCTTTTGCTTATAGTACGTTTCGCCCAATGATTTAGTTACAACTTTCACGACGATACCTTCGGTGAGCCAGTAATCTTTACGATTGGCTTTATCCTTTATCTGTTCTTCTTTCGCCATGATATCGTCGAGAGCAGATTTATTCTTGGTTTCTTTTTTCTCCCGTTTCACACTTTTACTGTCGCTATTATCTTCCAGAATGGAGCGCTTAACCAGCTTATTGAGTGGTGTTACAGTAGACGATATGAAAGGAGTTTTGGCAAGTTTAAGATCCAGAGACAACTTTTCATCTTCATTCTTCACCAATTCGGTGAAAACTGGTTTTTCGGTTGAGATGCTGTTACTCTGGCCATGTTTCACTTGCTTTTCAATAAAATCCTGAAGACGTTCTTCGTCGTCCTTATCCATTTTTAATTTACGATTTCTTTTCTCTTCTGCAGCTATCGTTTCGGGATCTCTATCGATGTATGTAATAAACCATCCCTTCTCGGTATCGTCAACGATGCATTTACCGATACGTCCCAGCCATTTAACGTAACCAGTAAGGGTTACCCATCGAGTGGAATTCATATGTAGATGATTACGGTCCGAGATGTATTCTTGATACACTCGATTTGCACTGACACGCTTAGTTCCAAACTGACGTTTTAATATATTTAAGAAGGTGCTATTGAATTCGCGAGAGAAATCGTCGATATACTTCTTCGAATTGTCCGCAAACAGCAAGAGTTGTCGTTGATGAGACTCGGACATTGTATGGCACTTGAATCCATTCTCATCTCTACACTGCTTCTGACACATTTGGCAGTACCATCGCAACTTTTGAAGACCTTTCGCTTTCATCTTGTTTGCAAGGTACTTGGGGGTACCTACTTCCGCGCGTGGCATTTTGTATCCTTGTTATAACTTGGGTTTCTTCAATAATTTTATTTTATTTAAAGGGCATAAAGCAGCAAAAATGACGTACAGAAACCACAACACTGTCAAGTGTCAAATTAAAATTTAAAATACAGGGTTGCCACAACGAACTAACAAAATTAAAAATAAATTCAAATTATTTATACAAATTCTTAGTTTGTAGGTATTACAGATAATAGGTAAATACCCAGATGAAAAAAAATGAGAAAACATTGTCATGAACAAGGAAATAGAATGAGTCATTAAAATAAGCCATACATCGTAATCAGTAAATATTTTGCTTACCAGCACTCGATTTTCCGTTTTATCCCCTTTTGTCTCGAGTCTAACGACATTTTTGAACAAGATTTTAACTTGTTTTCCAAGAAGTAACTTTACACTTTCTGGAAATAGAGTAGCAACAATTACGGTAGATCCAGCACAATACAAATTAGTAATTAAGTAATAGAATTCCAGAGGGATAGGATAGACAAATTAAACATCTAAAGCCGCAAAATTTCATGGTTTGAAATGGGCACAAGACACTCCCCTTTTTGAGACAAGTAAACATTGGTTTTCCCCAATTTTCAAATTAATGAATGAGTGTACTAACCATTTAAATCTTTTGTAAGTTGAGATCGAGTGGACATATTTAAAAAACATTAAAATACAAACACAGTAAAAAATCGCATTGTTGACACTGTTATTGGTTAATTTTTTTCATATTGTTATGTGGAAAACAATTAAAATGAATAGTTTAACTGTCGTTTGTCACTTGTCAGTTTCACTAGCTTGAAGTTAGTTTTAAAAGACAACGTACAGGGAGGAGCATCGAAAAGGGTGATACAGCTTGACGAGTAAAATACGAATTTCATAAACTATCTTTTTCTACGACGATGTACTACTACATATAAAGAGGTGATGCCACGATGACTTCGAAAACGGATATAACAAACCACGTAGCTATGGGAAGATGTTTTTAGTTTAATGACAATAATTTTTAATAGCAAAAAACTTTGAAAATAATCATGGTGATTGAAGTTTGCATCGACAGTTCTACAGGTTCTACGTTGGCACCATTGGAAATATTCAAAGGTTGGGAACGCCAAATTGACATCTGTAATATCTAATCAGCTGTTCCTGTCATTGTAAAGTTATTTTTGTTGTTGTAGAATGATACAAAACACCTCAATAGCAAATATAGTAAAATTATGGAGCCCTTCAAAGTCAACAAACTAAGGAAATTGAGTTTAAAGAATTTGAAAAATAGTTTCAGTTCTAAAAGGCAGGACACCGTTGAATATACCCCGGGAAGTTCTTCGCTTATACCGAATCTGGGCCGCAATGAAAAGGAGAAATCCAATCCTTCCACACGTAATTGCGCTATAATTTTGGTTAAGAATATTAAAAAGAAATGTAAAGGAACGCTGAGTAATTGTACGAAACTTAAATCTGATGTCAATTTGCAAGACGAAAGCTCAATGTCACAATCCGTACCGATTATATTGTTAGAAGTAAATGCACCACCTCCATTACCACCTCGATCGGTCAATAATAATGTAAGTTATATATATACTAACTAACTAATATAACTAACTAATACCTATATTCAATGTGTGCAGGTATTACCTCATAAAAGTCGCGGAATCAAAGAGGAACTCTCAGATTTGGTCAAACATGGTTGGTACTGGGGTTCAATTTCACGTGCAAAAGTGGAAGAAAAATTACGAAATCAACCTGATGGCTCATTTTTAGTTCGAGACTCTTCCTCCGACAATTATATTTTAACATTAAGTTTTCGTAGTTCCGGTCGTGTGCTCCATACACGAATTGAACACAGTTTCGGTTGTTACAATTTTTTTTCACAACAAGAAGGTTACACCAGTGTGGTCGATTTGATCGAATCTTCGATGGTACGTTCGGCTGGTTCAATTTTATGTTACGTAGCCAACAGAGAAAATGATCTCCATCCCAGTTATCCGGTACAATTGATAAAGCCCATTTCACGTTTCACTCAAGTCAGAGATTTACAACATCTCTGTAGGTTTGTTATACGACAATATGTATCTGTTAATAACATAATGAGTTTACCACTTCCAAAAACTTTGAAGCTATATTTACAACAAGATTATTGGTAGTACTAGAATGTGAACTATTTGTGTGATATCTTTTTTGTTATCCTATTCTTATTTTTAGTTTTATATTTATTGTTTGTCACATCGTAAGGTGGATTTATTTTTAACAACACTAAAATATTTATTACTACCACCCACCCATCAAAATTCAAATTAGATCTTAGTTTGAAATGATTGTATATTACTTGTGTTTTGATACATTTTAAATATTAATGTATAATTAAGATAGTGTCAGTTGAGAACATGTTCTTTGTTTTATTGTAAAATGATTGTTATTAGCAATAAATATGCCTTAGCTATGGGCATAAGCGAAACTAATAAAATATTTTCAAATATGAGACAATTGCCAATCTTTAAACTATAATGTACATTAACATAGATAAAATACAAATTTTGATATCAATATTTAGGTATGTGTGAGTCAAACAAGTAACTGGCGATCAAAAATGAGTGGCGGTCGAGTCCCCTTTGGAAGATCAAGTTAAGTACGATTCCCTATGTAAACAAAAATATTAGGACTGTAAGGAACGACAAGCGCCACCAGGTTAATTTTACACCATTAAAATGGCATTTTTCAACATTTGCTTGGAAAAGTTGTGAAAATTTGTTTTTGGATTTTCGTCAAAAGCAATAGGATACTACACTTTTTTGCTTTGTGAAAATATAAGCCCTTGTAATAAGAAGTAACGTTAAGTATACCCCCATCACAATCAGTTCTCAGTAGAGGTGTGAGTTGGAAAAGCATAAGTCAAATTAATGTTTATTAAACTCTTGTATTCATTCACCAGACCAGAGAATATAATAACATTTGTTACCCTAAACCAAAATTACCTATTCAAACCCAAGATGTTTCTGGCCTAAAATGAAAATAATAATAACATAATTTTAATAAAATTTGACTTACGGTGATAAAAGCGGATTTAATAGTATCTGTACTTTCTACTTGAAGTAAATTGCTTTTGTTCATCAAATCGTGGACTTGTGTAAGTTCATTTATTCTATTATTCAAAAACTTCCAAGTGTTCTCGTAATTTGCGGAATTATCTTGAATTAAGTACAATTCTGTGGCCTTATAAACACCTGCCAATGTAATTCGCCTCGCGTACCAATTGAACTGCGGCAAAAATTAACGTTTATATTGGGCTTTAAGAAGAAACAATTTACAAACATCGACAGACTGATCTCCAGCATAGTAACACATGTCATCAACCATAGTTAGAAGGGTCGCTAATGAGTTTGAAACATTCTGGGGTAGTGACATAATAGCTAGTGCTTGAGGCCATCTTGGCAAATACGGAATTATCATTTTTAATCGTTCCCGAACTGATTCTTCTATAATGACTCGACTGCGTACTGGTTTCAAACTTTGCACTTCTTGTCGCTAGAAACACGAGTAGGTATACACAATATTAAACATTTTATACCTGTTTCAAATAATCGACTAGTTTACTGTTCGATGACTTTTGAAAGTAATTAACTAAATCTGCTCCACCATTTGCAAATATACCGTGAGCAATTCCGGGATATCCAATACTTTCAGCTCCCGCACTAAGGGCATTTTTTGACCATCCCAGTTCTATGACAAAAGGAAGGGAAGCTTCCGAAATTTTAAGCTTTATATCCTCTTCGTACCGATCTTCTAACGGCACCTGCTTTTGTTCTGAGCAATGCCTCACAAACAGCAACAGTCTTGCATCTATGGCAAAGCACTATTAGTAATATAATCATTTTTATGTCATTATATTTATGGAATCAATTTTTTTCCTACTACAACTTGCGTGGTAGTTTTGTTCAATTAAAAAAAACATACCACTGTGCTGTGGTTTTTTAGTTTTTTTTTCTAGTTAAAACAGACCACTTTTTCAAGCAAATGTTTTTTAGTTAAAAAGTCAAAAGTTGCTTGTGTTCTAAATTTGTTTGTTGTTTCGATAGCCTTTTCACATTTACAAAAAAGATATAAGCGCCATTGTATTAACACTTTAATTAGAGGAATGGAATGGAACTAAGGAATTTTCCTAGACTTTTGAGACGTCCTTTCCAATCAAATTTACATCAAGATCAGAATTGCTTCGTATCCATTTTAAGTGCAGCACGCACACGGTAAGAACTTTGAAAAAAATTTCACAAATTCGCCCAGTGCTTATTCCGAAACTTCAATTCTTTCAGGTTTAAAAGTAGCTGACAGACTTAATATATAAAAATCTTGTGTCTTGGTGTTTGTGGTGGCCCTCCTCCGAAATGAATTTTTAAAAATTTTTGTTTGCACATTTGGTAGATATGAGAATAGGTCGTAAAGTATATTTAATACAGCTAGCCGATTATATGTCCCAACCAGATTTCCCAAAAGGCGGTACTAAGTTTGCCAGATCGGCTAGTATTATTAGTTATGGGACTTTTTAATCCCCAAATATTAATAATTTTAATTATTATTTAAATCCAACAGTTTTATGATAGTATTTCGTTTTTTTTTTTTTTATTCTTTCCCTATCAAAAAGCAAACTAACATTTTAATCTAGTAGCGCACTTGATGATATTTTTGTGCAAATATCAAGTAGCGTTATTATTTATTTATTGTTTCTTTTGTGTCTGTCATTACTTGATATTTGGACAAAATAACATCATGGGCTACTAGATTAAAATGTTACTTTGCTTTTTATTAGGGAAATTAATTTTAAAAAAACGAAATACTATCGTAAAAAGAATGTTTTTAATTTTTAATGATGTCATTCCCTTAAAAAAAGTTTCGCCATTTTGAAATACTTCGCCCAATTCAAAATCTGATATCACCATCCTGTAGAGAATGTTCTGATACATTTTGTTTATGTCACATTATGTATATAAAAAACTAAACTATTATACAGGGCTTGCAATATTTTATTCATAAATTAATTATTTCATAAAGATGAGACAATAAGTTATCAATCATATCAAAAGTAACAATACTTAATTCTAAACTTTTTAATTTTTCATCCTGTGACAAATTTGGAAGATGTTTGCCTTCAACCGTTACAGCTACTTCAGGATCCATGATCGACGGATGTTGTATTTTAACTTTTTGAAGTTCGCGAGAAAGAGTTACACCTTTCTTTAAAGGATCTAAGAACTGTTCGTGTAGTAATTTAAAATAATTGTATATCCCCGTTACATTTTCCTTATCACGTATTGCCAAAAAGCGTAGAAGATTTAAAAAAGCAAGTATTTGCTCACTTTTGTCCAATAAATGGGCCTCCTCGTAGTTTTGCAAGAAGCAAAATTGCCGTAACAGACAAATTAGGTTGTACCCGGAAAAATAAGGAGATAGTTCCGTTTTGTTAAGAGTCTCGGCCACCATATCTTTGCATTGCGTAATCGTGTACCCAATTATACCAGAATGATGCAATATCTTCATAAGATTATACATCAACAAATAGCGACCTCGGCTATCAAAAAGGAAAATGTATCGCCGATACAACTTAAGAGCACGTTGTCGAATACATTTATCCTGGTTATAAACAATAACATCCGTTAGTGCTTTACAAAATTCGCTATGATATTTCGAATCCAGTAAATAAGATGACAAAATGCAGCCCACCAGTCGATTTACAACAGATTGCAATAAACTCAATCCATGAAGTAGTGTAAATTCCTCATACTTCAGTAAGTGCGTAATCAAATGTACGCTCTGTTGAAACATGTACACGTTACTGTACACTTGTGGCATTTTTTCGAGCATGATTCTCTCGGCTAGTACCAAATAAAATAATGTTGCCAAAGCAAGTATGTCAATTTCCCCAATGTCATACAAAGGATCTAAATGCAGAAGAGAGAAAATATCACAGTCAATTTCAAATAGCAATGCCACTACCTCTCCGGATACCTGCCTCGCTGCACATTCCGATGCGAAATCTAAAAAGGCCAGCGGTTTTCCTAATAGTTGCATTGCAAACTTTAAAGTAATAAATTTTTCTTCGTAACTTGTCGAGAGATTATCCACAACACCTTTATAAAACGAACACAAAGCCGAGCATAAACTGGTGATTCTATCTACATCCGACTTCAAACAATCATCGAGCACTGTAACGTTGCTGTAGTAATATGAAACTGCATTCAGTCCCCATCCGAGAGAACACAGCCGTTTTTTTGGTAAACGTCGTAAAAGAATAAGAAGAACAAAAGTCAATGTTAAAAATGCAGTGTCATCAACGGCCGACTTGATATCTTCTATAATCAATAACAGTATGTCTTCGGGATCATACAGTTCCGCTATAGTCTTTAAAGCAACTTCACTACACTGGAACACTTGCAAGTTATCTACCTTGACACAGTTGTTTAACTGCGACACGATAATTGGAAAGATATCATCGACTATTATGTAACTTTCCTTGATAGCATTTACAACGCCGTTTACATCGCAATTAGTTAGATATTTGCGTATTGTAGTTAACGAATTGTTTCGTTCCATTTAAACTGTGGGGCCACTTTAGTCTGTAAAAATCAGGACATCAGACAAATACGTATCTTTCATTGTAATGAGCGAATCGTGTTACTTTCATTTTCAAGAGTAAATTTCGGGAAAGGACGAATAATGAGCATAAAAATTTGCGTAAAGTTGAATCATCATACCTACTTACTTTTGTAACTGTAACGAGCTAAGCTTATCAACGTCATTATTGAAATCAAGAAATCAAACTGCTAGATCCTCTAGTACCAATTACAGTAGGTATCTAATAGGATTAATGTTGAATAACATAATATTAGTAACTATAAACAGAATGAAATTGAATTATAACCAAACTATTGCTCGGAGGACAAACAGAACTACAACTACAAATGAACTACATAAATTACAGTAGGTAGCATAAATCCAGTGATGCCATTTTTATTTTACAAACCCCATGCAAAAATGGCAATGCTGCAAATACGCTTCAATGTCTATATTGGTCAATTTCAAGACACATCGACAATTTAATGGCATATTTCCTTTCAAATGCAAATAATGCACTATAAACTAGGCGGGGGTCTAATTATCAACTGTTTTTTCACCTTTTAAAATTTTCCAACGACAATTAAAACCATCCACACTACCTAGGTAGGTTCTATCTCGATCGAGCAAATTAATCACAAATTACCCAACTAAAAAGCAATAAAAATGACAATTGATTGGGTTGTTATAGACCCTCTTTAGTTCATGTTACTATAAAATAAGTAACAGAGAATGTAGGTACCTACCCAAATAAAATCATTTGATATTTACATGAATTCAATATAATTTATGCTAGAAATGCAAAAAAATGCCAAAAAACAGTTAATTAGGTACCTACAAGCTAAAGTTGTTAATGATAATGTTTGGGTATTTTTTAACAGTGTTTACGGTTATCACATAAAAAGGCCACATAAAAATGATAATACCAAATTGTCATCTGCTTAAATTGACCTCTTGTGATAATTATAAACTCTTAATCTCGAGAATTAAATATTACACAAAATTTGTAGACACGCGTTCTATAAGATGGCTTTACCGGATATTACTGTACATTTAGGGAAAGTCCTATTTCTTCTCCTAGTGCCAGTTCTTGCACTTTCAAGCGACCGGGATAACGATGAGTTAGGTATTAAACGAAAATTACTATCAGTTACGTTTTTCTTTCTAATTTTGCAGGTGTTTAAATGATAATAAGCAACAAGTATGTACAACTTCAGGTTGTGTACACGCCGCTTCCGAGATTTTAAATACGATAGATGAATCCGTCGATCCATGTGACGACTTTTATAAGTTTTCGTGCGGAACTTTTATAAAAAACGCCGTAATACCGGACGACGCGTTGATGGTAATGAGAAATCAAAAAATTCAAAATAAAGTCATGCAGCAGTTACGCGCTATGATTGAAGAACCTACTCAGTCGGACGAATCTCGACCATTTGTGATGTTGAAAAAATTTTATAAAGCCTGTATGGATACCGACGCAATTGAGAAGAGAGGGTTGACTAAAATGAAAATGTTATTAACAGAGTTAGGAGGTTGGCCTGTTTTAGACGGATCCAGCTGGAACGACACTGGATTCGACTGGAAAGAAATGGTGCATCAATTTCGAAAAATTGGTTTCGATAACACAGGCTTCCTTTATGTCTACATTTCGTCGGATTTCATGAATTCTACTCGAAGTATAATACTGGTAGGTATAGAGTGAACTAGGTAATCGTTTATGCACTTGTACTTTTAGATCGATGAAGGAATGCTTATGATGAAAAAAGATTTTTTGATGCAGGGTTTCGACAGCCCTGTTGTGCGAGCATTTTATAATTACATTGTTAAGGTAGCGGTAGCCTACGGAGCGGATCCGGATTTGGCCGAAACCGATATGAAGGATGTTATAAATTTTCAAATAGAATTCGCCCGCGTAATATTGGGAATGTGTCACTTTCTATCATTTTATAGGAACTTTTAGATACGTTTAAGTAGTGAGCATCGTCGCAATTTAACAACATTAACCAACCAAATGGCGATATCTAATCTTCAAAGGCAGTTTCCTACTTTTCCTTGGGTCGACTATATTAATGGAGTTCTGGGAGACCCAAACGTGGCCGTTGGCGAAGCAGACATAGTTGATGTGAGCGTTCCTAGCTTTATCCCGAAAATGGAAAAACTAATAGCTCGTACCTCTAAACGGTAGGTGTTAACCTTGTAGCGCTCTGGACATGTCTAATTTGTTTAATATTGCCCATATAGAGTGCAATCCAATTACCTACTGTTACTCTTTACTCAGAGTGTCGCCAAAATGCAACCGGAAAAGATTCGTAATCTACAATTTGAGTTGAATAAGGCCGTTAGTGGTGTTCAAAAAGTGCCACCCAAATGGAAAGATTGCGTTATTGCAGTTAACAATAGGTTGGCCAATTCGTATGAATGAAGTGAAAACAATTATTTTACCTTCTTAGAATGGGAATCGCAACCGCTGCACTATACGTAAGAAAATATTTCGACGAAAAATCGAAGAACAATATCATTGACATTATATTTGATGTTAAAAATGCGTTTATTGGTTCTGTGACGAAATTAGACTGGATGGATGATGATACACAAAAAATGGCAGTAGAAAAGGCTAGGAAAATTGTTAATCACGTGGCGTATCCGCACGAGTTACTAAATGACACAAAAATTGAAGAATTTTACGCCAAGGTAAGTATCGTACAGTTTGATCTCCTTTCTAGCCTCAAACAATTCCGACGCTGCCTGTTTACCTATAAAACTGTTATAGTTAGAACCAGCCGATAACCTCCTAGATTTTCACTTTAACCAAAGGAAATTTGATAAAGATTTCACCGTGGCGAGCTTAAGAAACCCTATGAATAAAGGAGATTGGACACGCTATGCCAGCAGTACCGCAGTGAACGCATTTTATAGGCCGTCAGAAAACTCAATTGGTTCGTTTCCTCTTAAGTAAAAGGGCCTACTCAACGTTTTCATATTGCAGAATTGCCAGCCGGAATTCTGCAGGATGTATATTTTGATAAAGATAGACCCCAATATTTAAACTATGGAGGCATTGGGTTCATTATCGGTCACGAAATAACCCACGGTTTCGACGATCAAGGCCGACAAATCGACAAAGATGGTTTACTAAGAGACTGGTGGACCAAAGATACCGCAAACACGTTTATAAGTAAATCTAAATGCATTATTGAACAATATTCAAATTTCACTGTACCAAACAGTAACGTGTCGGTGAGTTTCAAAAATCTACCTACCCTATTCAAACCTGGAGTATGTTTAGATGAATGGAATTAATACTCAAGGAGAGAACATTGCCGATAACGGTGGAGTCAAAATGGCATATTTAGCATACAGGTCGTGGGTTCAACGCAATGGCGAGGAGGCAAGTCTGCCGGGTTTAAAGTATACACCATATCAATTGTTTTGGATATCTGTGGCGAATATTTGGTGTGCGAAAGCTCGGCCGGAAATATTGGACAAATTAGCAGTGACCGCCCATCATTCACTTCCGAATTTTAGAGTAACTGGACCGATGCGTAATTCTCAACACTTCGCGGAAGATTTCAACTGTCCCCTTACATCAAATATGAATCCCGAGGACAAATGTTCTATATGGTAATTTCGCTCAGTTGCATCAAACCATGTACCTAATGGCTTACCTATCAATAACCATTAAATTCAATTTTATAATATCGAATTGCATCGTGATATTGACTGAAAGAACCTTTAATCCCACATCCACACAGTCACTGAATTTGAGGAAGTAAATTCTGAATGTTTTTTCGGGCGCTGAAGTCCGAAGAGAATTTGAGCTTTAAAATCGGGCAAACTTTATGTGTTGTTTTGATACTATGGACATGGACTATGGACAAGCGAAATTAGTGGACTAAGAGAGGCGAACTGGATCCGAAGAAGACGAAGTCGGTTGCGTCCGTCGGCTGGGAAGGTGATATCCAGGGGCGGACTGGCCCGGGGGGGGGGGGGGATTGCCACCTGGCCTGTAGATCATATTGGCCCATTGGAAATTTATAAGTATGTGCTGTATTTAGTTTCTTGCGCTATTAATAAATTACTAACAGATTTCTCTCATTGGGGTTGATGTTAGGTTGTTCATTAAAAAATTCTGTTTTTAATTAAGTGTTTTACAATGAATTTATCATTTTTTCTCGTATTTTGAAAGTGCTGAAACACAATTATAGGCGACTCGCCACGTTTGTATATTTTGTTACTTTTAATTATCAGCTGCAATTAAAAAAAAAACTATATTCTAATTGAGGAATACTTTAAAATGTAGCAAAAAATGTTTTTGAGAGCCCCCCCCCCCCCACCATCTTCATTACACCAATACTTTCATGGCCCGTAACCTATGCAATTCCACCTGGCCCGTAAGTACCCAGTCCGCCCCTGGTGATATCGTCAGTTTTATAGAATGCATGATAGTCTGCCCTGCAAAAAGTACACCAATCAACTAAGAGGAGTATCATAGTAGACAATTTTACACTATGGTAGTATTCAGCAATTTTGGACCGTTTGGTGGCAGCAATCGCGGAGAGACGGCCTGGGTGCACTAAGAAAGAATTCTGTTTCATCGCGACAATACCTACACCCAGGCACTTATTAGCGTCGTGTTTGCGCCCCAGCAATTTGATCGTTTGTTATCATTATCATCGAATGTTTACAGTATGCCACATTATTACAAAACCTGTAATTACAAACTACAGTAGTGCTGACTAGTTTGCGATACCGCGACAGATGGCGCTGAAACAGCTATTTAAAAATCAATGAATAAAGAATACCTATACCGAGTTCTTGGCGTTCTGTCAAAATTTATATGCAACAAATGCAACCGGCAACCCTTTAACTTACACCAAAGATACAATTCCTAATCTATAAATATATTCCTGATTCACCTAGATGACAGTACGTGGACATTTTTAGACGGTCAATGTCCTCTAAACGTGAATACTAAAGTAGATTTTGATGCAAGTTGGAATCTGTAAGCGCGTTGCAAATTTCGTACCTTGAACTGCATGTGACAAGGTTAAATTGCTCTTAAAATATATCGATTCTTGTACCTATATCTATCCATCTATAAAAACGGAAGAATGCCTGTCCACTGGTATAAATTAGAGTATGATTTCTGCATGAATGCGCTCGATAATCTAATCATAACCAGAGCGATTTATCTACGTGTCAAGTGAATTACTTCTATCTAAAGTGCATATTCATTAAATGCATATTTGAAGGCATACTTCCGTGATCCCATCTGCACAAGCCTACCTACAATTGATTTGCCGTGAGAATGTGGATAAATTAATCGAAAAACCGACGCAAAATACTAGAAAGGAGTTAATTAGAGCAGTAAAAATCAATATCGGGTCAAATTGTAATAAAAAATAAAGGAACCCGTTCGAGTAAAGCAACAAAGATGGACTTATTCGTGCTGGAATGTTTATTGGAGTCATGGAGTCCTTTTGTTTGTAATAGTAGCAATAAAGGCATCAAAACAGTTCATTCATCGGTGGCCGCTGAACAAATAGATAACTACAACACGAAGTTGTGAAACTCGAGTTCGAAAAAGAACAGCAAAAGCAACTTCCGATCTTTACACCAACAGAATAGCGCCGGTACAACCACGAAAGCTTCCGACAAGAAGCGTCCCTCACCAATCTTTTCTTTCATCGATTTGTAACCTTTAAATTTTTTGATCTTTTGTAAATTAGACGAATTCATCGAATTTACACATCAGAAAAAATATTTCGCTACTTTTCGTTGTTTTTTATATGCACGTACCTACTCTCGTAATAATGAAGGTTGAAAGTATTCCGTATTGGCACTAAAATTCGTGAAGATGCAGTTCCTTTCGCCTCATAAGCGACAGGTCTGCTTATTAAGAAAAAAATGGGAATCCGGAATAATATTCTTAAAATGAGATTTAATTAAAGCTAGGTACTTTTCAGCAGTTTAATGGAAGCAGTGGATAGCTGGAAACATCATTGCTCTGCTGACGAAGATGCATTATCCGACGAAGACGTTGCATGACATTCAAAGAACCCAAAAGTACACTGTTATCGCATCGCAGCCGTTTGTTGTAGGCGTTCGAGGGGAGCTACGGGGAAACCTGTCTGCCACACTGATGATGATGAATGTGCCATGTTGTATACGCCTTTTTCTTCTTTTTAATCCCAAGCCAAATACAGCTCCAAACCGATGCATCTACGGTTGCAATCCATTATCCTTGCATCATGTTCAAAATTCACAGAAATCCGTTGATGCAAGTACTTGTATTAGGTCAGGCGTCAGTTTACAGTAACAATTTTTTGTCATTTGCTTAGCGATGAAAATTAAATCACTAAATTGCGCATTTAAATACATGATGCATTTATAAAAGGCCATTTTGCTATTGATATAATTGTTATAAGTGTAAATTATTAGGTCATGAAACAATCTTATTTGCCAGCATGATTAAGGTTAATCAGTGATGAAAAATATAATCGGAAACATCTTACCTTATAATCGAACGTGGCTAACATTCTAATAATCAATAATTATATTGAAAACAATGAAGAATCCGAAAATAGCTACGTATTGTATGTTTTATATACAGGTTGTAACAAATTTCGTGTAAAGTACAGAGATCTCATTTATTAGCATACATGGAGAGTTGGTTAAATGGACAAAAATTATCCTCAAGATACGCCTAAATAAAATCAAAAAACAAAATCAGCTCCTTTCCTAAATTTTTACTCTTGAAATTCGTTTGCAACATTTTTTCTCATCATTCATGGCTATCGAAGTAATCGTAAAACCATGTAAATATTGAACACTCTGAGGAGTAGAAAACGTATCTTATTGTATGAAAAAGCTCATGATTTTTTCATTTTAATTTTATTGTCAACGCGTTTAACTAATTACACCACGGAGCGACGTTTCCGCCAGATTAGTTCAAAATAAATTTAAACTACGCACAAAAATAGTCACTACTGTTACTGTATAATTTGATATTTAACATAAAAAACAAGATACGCACTTTTTGAGTATCTTCCCTGACAAAATAACCCTTCTCTCTATATGTGTCGGTATAATAATTACACGTCATCCAACAGGTTTTCCTCGTATTAAAACATACCCTTCATTGATTCAATGTAGCACCTGTGATTTTTTTGCCTAATGTGTGGGGCCTATGCACCTGTCAAAGCAAATGCGTGAGAATCTCGGGGGATGCTACTAGACGATTCGTATCTCTTTGCGTTTGATTTATACTAATTATAAACGCAAGCGTCACGTACAATTAGACGCGCCGTATTTTTGTTTAGCAGGAAATTCTAATAAAGAAAAAGAAGAAGAGTATCACAATTGATCGAGCATGAAAAATTTTTCTTGCAGTTATTTTAGCATGGGTCTGGCGTCCTCGTGCAGAACGATTTTTTTCTGCTAGGGAGAAAAACAAATTTAAGTTTGTTTTATTCGGAACCAGAATTCATTAACATGTTAAATTTAATGAGATTATGGTAACGCACGAGTACTCTCCCTTTTCTATCCCGGATAGTATTTAATTTCCCACATCTATTTTAATATGTCACACCACTTAAAAATTCTTCACAACTTATGTCTTCAACTCCGGTATAGTTCATTGAAAAAGTTAAATTAGTCCCGGTGATGAACTCAGTAACGCACACAGGAACTGATGTTCTTAATTTGTGCGTGTGTGATATATATAAATATTTTGAGATACGTTTCATTTCAGTATCCGGTTTTCTATTCGATGGAGCGACAATAAGAATTATTGAATCAAACAATTGTACATAAGCATAAACAAATGATAAAGAATTTTTTGAAAGAGAAGTTCCATTTTCCACATTTTTAAGCATGTCATGCAAAACAAAAAAAAATCGGGTAAAACTTTGTTTTTAATTTAGCCGCGAAATAACGTCAAAAGAACATGTTACTAAATTTCGTGTAAAGAGCAATATTATATAGGTACCTACATCTTAGACCAGAGATTTGATAGATTGTTGTATAGATTGATGAAATTTTATATCAAACTTATTTTTTCTACTCCTATACTTGATGATAGTCATTTCGATACAGATTTTCAGTTTACGACCAATAGAATTGCAGCATGACGGTATATCGACGCATAGTTTATGAAAATCAAAGTTGCCATACCAATGACAGATCTAAAATTTCATTGAAATAAAAGACTAAGGAAGGAGGGTTACAAGTAGTGCTTTGCAAAAAAACCATTAATCGATAACGTCGATAACACCGGTCTACAGCATTTTTGCGCATGGGACATACAGGGTGATTCCTATAGTACCTGCCACCGTTTGGGAGCGTGTAGGTGGTGCGTAGGGGAGTATTTTGATATAGGACACTTGGGGTCGGAAATCTAAAATAAGGGTGCCAGAGCCAAATTTACCTTCTGGAATTTCGCGCCTGTAGGTAGGCAACCCAACCGGCCGGCGGTGCACACGGAGCGATCTCAGGCGGCGATGTGTGGCTGACACTTGATCAGAATTTTGTTTAAACCCACGAAATCCCGTCTGCAACGACGCGTATCAAGTGAATAAACACTATGGCAATAGTATAATAATAGTTGGCTAGATGTAGGAAGTGCATTGAGAACAACGGTGGCCACGTTGAACACTTGTAAACGTTATTGCTTTTGACTGTCGTTTTCCCTCCTTCCCTCCCATGTCGCTTCCTCGCGCTAACTCGCTCTGCATCGCTCCGCGCGAAACGTCGGTCGGTTGGGTTGCCTACATACAGGCGTGAAATTCCAGAAGATAAATTTGGTTCTGGCGCCCTTATTTTAGATTTCCGACCCCAAGTGTCCTATATCAAAATACTCCCCTAGGCACCCCCTATACGCTCCCAAACGGTGGCAGGTACTATAGGAATCACCCTGTATATACCTTATTTGTA